CACAGCCATCGTCTTTGTCCGTCCGTACGGCTGATGCAGATGCTGAGCGACAGCTCCAATGCCCCAGTCACGCCAGCAGACTACCGCGAGACAGCGGAGTGGTGGTTATCGCCGTTATGTCTCCTTCGTAGATTTGTCGATCGGGGCATTGGCGTCGCTATGTCCTAGTACGGTCTGTTCTGGATGACCGCACTGCTACTGGAGAGTTTTTAATGTTTCTATTGGCGCATCAGGTGTCCGCATCTGCCATGGTTTGTGTGGATGCGGTTTGGGGTGGACTCTGAGCTTTACGGAAGATCATAAGCCAGGGATCTTCTGCGTTGGGTCACACCAATCTACGTGACCCCCTACGCATTTCACAAGTAGCACTAATCGCATTTCTGCATTTCCCATAAATATGCTAAATTCCTCTTGATATGCAAATTATTTTGTCAAGACGCTCTTCGCCCCTCCATCCCAACATAAATAGTCGATTCAAGCCTGGGGCTCCTTGACAGACCTGTTCTTCACCTGAAGACGGCTGCTTGCGTTGTGGCCGAAACGTCGTGAGAATTATTTTATTATGTTTTATTTTTATTATTTTATTAATTTCTTTCTACGTGACTTTACCGAAAGAACCAAGAAGATGAATCCCTGCAGTCACGAAAGCTTTAAATCGAAATTCAATCTACGTGACTTTACCGATAGAACCAAGAATATGAATTCCTGCAGTCAGGAAAGTTTTAAGTAAAAACATGTTAGTGAATTATTTAGCCATTTTCTGTACTTTTGAGGCATAAGCAATTGGAAAATAACACTTACTACCCAGGAACAAATAATATATATTTTTGTTACACAGTGATCCGTCGTACTTCCGATTAACACGGTTGGCTCCGTACGGTGCGAACGAAGTTCAACGTCTCTGTGCGGACCTCGCCCCGCACATTCAACTTAGATGCTCGCTTCTCCCGCGCCGCTGGAGGGCGACACTCGGCAGTGAAGTCCCTCGGCCACAGGGCGTTGTGGATTCGTGGGGCTTCTTCTCAGTGCGGCTGCGTCTCTGTGAAGAAGACGCGGAGCGGCGTCATCATCACGTGGAGCGTGGCTCGTGCCGTGGCAACACGCGAGGAGCGGGCAAGAGGAGACAGGGCGGACAAAGACTTTTGACTTTTAAACAACTTTTATTGCCGCCAACAGCAACAGCACTGAAGGCGATTCCGATATGAAATACACAGTCACCAGCAAACAAATAAAACAACCGCTATGCACTGCGCACAACACGAAATAAAAGCCACGTGGTTGGTGGTGGTGGTCATCGTGCACGCCACGGTGACGAGCGAGCGCTTCAGAAGGTGAACACGAGGGTGCCGTCCACGCTGGTGCAGAGGGTTTTTCCGGTTCTCCAGCGTTCGAAGAAGACGTGCACATCGCCGACATGTGTGTGGTACATGGCGTGCTCCAGCCGGAGCCGCGCCTTAAGCAGGCCTCTGAACACTGGAAGCACAAAGCAGCCATCAGTGAGAGAGAGAGAGGCAGAAGAGGAAAGGAAGGGTTGGGAGTATGGAGTCGAGCACGGGAAGGGCCGTTACAGGGTGGACGGGAGAGGGAGTTTCAGACAGAGGGGGCGGCAGAGAAGCAATCTCACATTCAGTGGGGATTGACTGAGGCTTAAACAGAGGATGCTGGAGCGGAGAGCAATGGGCAGTGGAGTGGAGCGAGGTGAGAGGGGAGAAGACGGGGAGTGAAGTGGAGCAAGGGAGAGGGGAGGGAGAGAGGAAAGCACGAAGAGTAGAGTGGAGTGAGGGGAGAGAGCGGAGAGCACAGCGAGTGGGAGTGGAGCAAAGGAGAGGGGAGTGAGGGAGAGAACACGGAGAGTGGAGTGAGCTACCCGTCGGAGGCCGTCAGACTGCGAGAAGGGCTGCGTGCAGAACGAGAGAGAGTGAGCGAGAGGTGGGGGTTTACATGAAGCAAAGTTATTATAAAAAAAAATACGAAATGATGAAAGAAGCAAAGTGCCGAATACACCGATCATCTTGTTTCCACTGATCGTAAAAAAGGAGAGAGAGGACAGGACGGGGATGAGAGGGAAGCGATGTGAGAGAAAAGAGACAGGTGGTGTCTGAAGTTTTCTCGCTGTGATTTTCATGATGGGTTTTCACGTGTAAAGTTATGTGTTGCCTTTTTGAGGCCATTTTTGTTACTGATAAATCGTGCTTTTTAGTCGTATTTTACTGTAAAAATCACATTGTCAGTTACTTTTAAATGTTTTTAATGTTGTACATTTCTGGATAAGTCAGTTTGGTCCCAATTAACGCCGGTGTAACCCTTGCCAATCCACTGCTGGATGAAGTCACAGGGGTTATTCGACCATACTTCACTGGTTTCAAGCGTTTTAATGGGTCAAAGGTTCGATTCTATTGGCTTGGTAATATTTCACGGTGGGTTTTTTTGACGGCTCTGGTTGTATTTTGTTGTGAAAATGTTTTAGCTTTTCTGTGGTTGTTCAAAATTACCATCTTACTGTTGCCACGCAACTTTTACAGTTTTAGTGGCAGAATTCGCTGCAGTTTTACATAAACCCATGTCTTACAGCTGAAATGTGTTGAAAAGCCGGTTTATCTGAATTTAATGGACAGAAAACATTTTAATTGGACAACAGCGCCCTCTAGTGGCGAACAGCGCCCCCTAGTGGTCACAACAGCGCCCCCTAACGGTCTATTTTAGCAGGATAAAAAAAGTTCCCCCTCCTCTCAATTTACGGCACAGTTTGTCTCTTCCTTACACTCACAGCAGATTCTACCCCAACATCGCACCTTGGTTTCCATCTCCTTTGCATTTGACACTGGTCTCCACCACCATCACATTCTGGGTTCTTTTCAGCAACATCACCCACATCTTGTTCACTTGCCCTTTCCGCACATCCACCGTCTCTCTTGTTTTTTTTCCAGTATATTTGGCAGCTTTTGCCTCTGCCAGGATTTTAACGTTGCACCTCCAAACCTCCGGGGATGCCTTTCAACCCTTTAAGCCACCGTGTCCTCACACAAACGACTCTCAGCCACATAATCGCAGAGTTTGTAAATAATCAACACACTCACCCCTCGGGGATTCGAACCCAGGTCTCGACTTTTCAAAGGCAACTGCGTATTCCACTACACTACGGGAGCTGACTTGATTCAGTCAATGTTCTGGTTATTATATCATCGTCGTTTTTAACACTGCTTCAGATGTATTTTTTACGTAAAATGTACAAATAAACATACATATACGTTTGTAAAATGTCCTTTGCTTTCATCATTTAATTAGCTAAATAAAAGTTGGATTTGAACCCAGTACCCCATGACTCGCAGTCCGCGTTCCTCCCCACTCCGTCACTGAACGCTTGTGACGTCAACACGCTCCACATGGTATCGTGACTGCACTTCGCGGACACGTGTGATGATGTTTTAACCAAATATAAATGTGACCATCACTTGTGTTGACGGCATCACGCGAAAGGAACATAATTACGTCTGTCGTTATGTAATGTGTAAGTCACTTGGTAAAAAGTTAAGTATGGGATCCGAACCTAGGCAAACCACTTCAAAGGCAGCTGTGCCATCCATTATAGCAGGAGGTTTTGGTGATGGGTGGAAATATTCTGGCTATTAAGTCATTGTCGTTTTTAATTTGTTGCATAAAAAATAAAGTGTATGAAACATTTGCCCATGATTCTTGTCCTACATTCTTCATCGAACTTAACAAACGGGCAGCTTTGTTCATAGGTGAAAGGGGGGATTTGAACCCAGACTCCTAAAACCATGCAGCCACTCACACTCCCCCTTGGCTACGATGCATCTCTGCAGATAACCCGTGCCGCTCCTGCAGGTGACATCAGTCACAGACTTTGGCGTGACCAAAAATATCTCCAAAATCCTTAACAAACATAAGATCCAAGTCCGATTCAGTACAGTACATAAAATCCGTGATCTAATTCCATCTTTGAGGATGTCATCCCTGACTTGCAATACCCTGGAGTCTATAAACTGATTTGCAGCTGTGGTGACTGTTACATTGGGGAAACGAAATGTCATGTCTCTGATCGTGTCCGCGAGCACAAGTCTGATTTGAAACACGGCAAAATTGAGTCTTCTGCCGTTGCCGATCATTGCTACAACGCGGTGGGCTCTCATGATATTATATTCTTAGTTTTTTTCGGTAAAGTCACGTAGGTAAAACATTAAAATTAATGAAAGTAAAATAAAATAAAAAATCACGTTTCGGAGGCAACACAAGCTTCCGTCTTCAGGTGGAACCGTCACAGCCACGACAGCTGTATCAAGTAAATGAGAGATTGCAAGAGCTACCACTCCGTATACATAATGGTTGGAGAGGGGGGAAGGGCCAGGTACGGCACACTTTTTATTCATATGGTAAGGTGAGGCTTAAGAGGGTGAGCCTTTGTTATGGAGAGGTACGGTTTGTGCCTAAACCTGGCTTCAAATCTAGAATCTCATGATATTGTTTTTTCCGAGACTAAGGTGCTCTGCAAACCCTCTGGCTACCATCAAAGGTTTGTACACGAAGCCATTCAGATATACAAACACAGACATAATTTCAACCGTGATGATGGGTACAAACTTAGTAATCATTGCAAAGATGTTATTAACCATGCAAAAAAGATATAACTACACATTTTTGGACCATCTTATCTGACAGGCACTATTTTACTTTACCGAGTGTTAACATCCCCAGCGTTAAACGATACTCTCTTTATTGTCAGCCAACACTGATATAAACATGGGATTTTCGTTTTCTTTTCTATCATGTGCATCTACAATGACTTGCGCACAAACACGTCCACGTCGCCCACAAGTACCTCGTCCCCTCTTTTAGCCCCGCCCCCCCCCCCCTCCTGATACGTTCCATTCATTGGCTACCACATTCTGATAAGCTCCTCCCCCCTCTCCTCCTCCTGAACTTGTATTTAAGAGCTTGCATCTTGAATCCCTGCCTCACTTGATACAGTAAATCTGGCTGTGACGGTCCCACCTGATGACGGAGACTTGTGTTGTCTCCGAAACGTCGTGAGTTTATTATTTTATTTTTATTAATTTTAATTTCATTTTTTACCTACGTGACTTTACCAAAATAACTAAGAGTCTTCCTAGCGTTGTTCCCGCTGTGGCGCAGGGTCCGCTTTTCGGCATTGTCTTCTCTATTTGGCTCGGTCCAGGGCATCTTCAGGGGATGCGTTGACCGTCTTCATGTCTTCCTTTATTCGGTCCATCCATCGCTTCTTCGGACGTCCGCGTGGACGGCGGCCCTCTGGCTCAAATAACTAAGAGTAACAATTAGATAAAGTTGATGTGGCAGCGCAGGACGGTGAGGAATGGCGATCGCGTGGGGAGGGCCTCATCCAGAAGAGCGAATTCGCCATGAAGAGACATTGCCAAGAGCACCGTTGGGTGTGAAATCCTCCACTGCGTGTGAACTCGCTCCACACTCTGCATCAGTTACTTCCCACAGTGTAATTCTGTGAAGCGGGGATATAGTTAAGAGGCTTTATTTTCCAATTTGTAGTACAAGCGTAGTTGTAACTCTTCAAATAAATTGTTTATTTGGTTTCGACTTGTGTCCCAATGTTTGAGAAGGGCATAGATCCATAAAACAAACTGGCCCACGAGTTGGGGGTGAGCGAGTGCTGTCCTAGTGGAAAGAGCTGTGCTATCGATATTATTATGGTCGTTATCAACAGCAGTGTGACCTCATCTCACCTTTGTTAATGGTTAGATGGAATGCGGTTAAACATCGTCAGAAGCTGCAGCGCATTTGCAAATGGAACTTTTAAACGGCGTCCGTCGTGGAACACTCATCACACAGGTAGACCCTTTAATTTTAAAATATTAAGATGCTATATTATAGCCATTATTTGTTTTTACATACAAATACGCATACATGTATTCTTCCAGTGTGTGTATGCTATTACCACGCCCTATTTTGACATGTTATATGTATTCATTGTGTGTCGTTTTGCATGGAGCTGCGGCACGGTGGTTAGCACTGTGCAACGAACCGGGCGACTCGAGTCGATTCCCGCTCACGGACACCAGTGACGTTTTTCTGAACCGGTTATAGGCCTCCACTTGGTTAACTCAGCCTCAAATGAGTACCTGATGCGGTGTAGAAGCATCGCCACTCGGGAGACAAAAGCGACCGGGCGTGGTGCTGGCCATCCACCCTTTCGTGTGCCGTGCCGGCCTTCATAGGTTCTCGATAACAGCGCTTTCCCCAAAGGTCTGTTAAGGCTACACAGGCGATCTTTGTCTTTGTGTTGCAGTACGAGATGGGGACTGGCACAGGGCGCACGATCTTTGGGAGCGGGATGCTTCCTGCACGCCTCATGCAGTGCCTGTGCGTGCTCATTTTCATCCCTCGCCTCGGTGCTGGTGAGTAATCCGTCGACATTCTCCTGCCTGTAAAGGGCGCTTTGCACAAAACTGAAACTAAATACAATATTTATTATCTCTTTATATTAATAGGAACTGCTAGTACCTTACGATTCCAGTGGCGATTTTAGATTAGCGAACACTGAAGGTTTGGTGGTTGCTGGAGGTCGTTTAAAATCAGAGGCAAATATATTTTTGTAGTTGCGCTTCCTTGAATTTGGAACTCCGTCTCAAGTCGCATCAGGGTTACAGCGGGGGACAGTGAAAACTTTGGTTCGAATTTCAAAACGTATTTACTTGAATTAGCTGATCAGCTGGATCGGCCAATGGTTTTTATTTGTCAGTTTTTTTATTTTAAGGATGCATGGGATGTTTGCAATAAGAGTGCTATCTATATGAGGCAACCTGCATTTTATTGTATCTGTTATTTTGACAATAACCATATTCAAATGTATGCTATTGCAAGCGTGTATTTTGACCATGGTGATAATTACGTACCATACACAAGAAGCCTGGCAGCGTCAGATTTTGGAGATGTTACATAGTTTCTTAATAACAGGAGGTCTCGTTCTTTCTTGTGTACTCTGCGCAATCTAGACCCCATGGGCTGCATTGCTCCTCAGATTGAGAATGCCAATTTTGATGGCAGCAGTGGGAGTGTCGCGATTGGCAGCAAAGTTACCTACGCATGCAAACCTGGGTGAGTTCATGTGCAAAGTCACACCTGTAAACCCACCACTTGTCTCTTTCTCTCTCCACACCATGACAGCCACGTCGAACATTCCATACATTAGGCAATGCACTGTTGGTAAATTCACAAACGCAAAGGTGCAGCCCTGCAAATGCTCGCTCACTCCACTGTTGACAGAAGGGCCTCCGCTAGATGGGCGCTCTAGCGAGCTCCTCTCGGGTATTTTTGGGCAACTCTTTCACACTGCAAAGATTTTTTTTTTCAAAGACATAGCCAGTATACTTTATTCCACACCCACAAGCGTTTTGCCTTTCGACTGTAGTGAACTCATTCATACCGTTGGGTATACGGAGGTGGCGGGGTATTTAAGAAACGTGTTAACCCTTCAACCTTTCATATGCAGATTTCTTCTGGTGGGCCAGAATACGCTGACATGCATTTCAAATGCGGAATGGTCAGACAGTGAACCAGAATGTCAAGGTAAGGCAAAATGTATATGGTCCTTTAAGTTAAAATCGATTTTATTTACATATTTTACGAAGCAGGGCCATTACCTGAACTGTTGCCTATTACATGTATTTTTCGTTTCAAGGTAACAGTGTTCTTGACAAAAAAAGGCTGTTGGACCAAATGACACCAAAAGGCACACTTTTGGTGTCATCTGGTCCAACACCATGTGAGACTAGGCTCTAAGAAAAGCTGTCTCGGGTATGGACCAATCAATTTCAAGGACAGTGCATACATTATCAGAGTTGTGTTTTTTGTTTGCATTCCGACCGCAGGTATTGTGGTCAATGCAAACATGACTCCTTGAAAAAAAGGTGTCAGTTTTGTTGCCAGATAAAAGGGTGAAAAACCAATTATCATAGAATTTCACATTCAGGTAGTCAAGCCAGACAACCGCGACAACCCCTATCACTACCCCAACCACCCCTCCTTAACCACTCCCAACTGTTCTACTGTCAACATAACTACACCTCCACCACCAACACCACTATTGCGTGTTGAACTTCTTTCGCACCATACGTAGCCCATCGGAGGTGCAGGGGGAGGACAACTAAATACAAGCAGTTCTAAAGAAATTCGTTTTCGATGTAATAATAATAACCCCACACTTTACTTTCAACCATGATCATCGTATGTACAATTGTGTAATTATTGTAAAGCACTCTTACAATAAGGTGCAGCATACATCTGTAAAATATAAAGAGAGGAGAATAGTGATGGGTGAACGTGCATGATGGGGCAAGAGGTGCCAAATCGTAAGCGAGTTGACGAACGGCTGCAATTTACTCTGCTCAATCCGTGTTAGCCACTGTTGTAGTCACGGGTTTCTGTTTTTCATTCCTGTTGCTGAACGCCCCCCTCTATCGTTCCCATTCCGTTGTAACGTGCACCGATGCCCACTTTATTGAGGGCGATATTGGCAAGTAAAAGAATGATCGATTGATTGACCAAATCTCCCCCATTATTCAGGAGCGATACCTGCGACAGGGCCCCAAGATGTTCCACAGCAGAATCTCCGGTGCATCGGAATCAGCAAGCGCTCCAAACTGGATAGTTTGCCAGTTTAACACGTAGGATTTTGCACGTGAAGGGCTCGCATGTGACGTCATCACAGCTACCCCCTCTATTTAAGGAACGAAACAAGAGGATTTCTCCACAAATCTGGCTGTCCGCGTGATGACGCTAGTTGTAATTACTGGCGAAACGTCGTACTCAGATCGTAAATGTTGTGGATTTGCTCTCCAACACACCGGTGTGCTGTACTAGTAACGAATTGGCATGTTCTGTTTAGGTGATAAACCTTACTAATTGGCTGCGTTGGGTGGTGGGGGGTTAACGACACATTTATATTCATGCCATCTCACCCAAAATCCCTATATTATGGATAGTTGGTGGGTTTTTTTCTCATTGCCTCGATTGCAAGAGTCTAGAGCAGTGGTTCTCAGATTCAGATTGTGGTCTGCGGGGGCTGTCATGCAAATGCACAGGGTGATCCGGACAATGACAATGTTTATTCCTTTTGTTTCGGACATTAATTAGGATTTTACTCATGATATTTCATTAAAAAAACATAAAGTTCGGTAAACTACCCCTATTAAACTTCCTTAACCCTAACATCTAAATGACCCCCCCCCCCCTGAAAAAGGTTACCTTATAGGTACGTTTAAAATAAAAGTGTTTATATTGCGGTAATATGAATAATTTTATCTTCCTGGTATTTCGAGAGTGAATTGAATGCGTTTTGTCAACAGCGGTGGTGGGTGGGGGGAGTCTGTGTGGTTCCGTGGAAACATAAGCTGTTCTTGTTGGGGGTACCCTCCCGTTCTGTCCAGCGTTCTGCGAGAAACCTTTGCCACACGGGAACGCACAGGTGTCTCCGCAATACAGCCGCAGGGAGCTGTACTATATCAACCAGTACGCGCACTTCACCTGCAACAAGGACTTTGTGTCCCCATCCAACGGCTTCTACATGACCTGCATGAGGAGTGAAAATGGCTCCGCTCATTGGGTGCAAGAATCCAACCTCACGTGTACAGGTAAGCCATACGGCCATGCCTGGTTCGAAGCGGGTGATATGTATAAGGCAACACACCAACACCAATCTTTGTGTGGACGAATACGCAAGACGAGCTCTCTTGAGTCTTCAGATCACTTCCAATGCAGGGCTCATTGTGCACTTTATATTTGTAGTGCTGAACTTTACGTAGACAACTTCTTTTTCCGTCGTCACTTTTTATTACAAAACTCTTTACATTCCACAACCGTGACTTCAGAGCGGTCTCTGCTCGCTCGCCACGCTCCGCTTGCCTCGCTCGCTCCGCTCCCTCCGTCTCTCTCTCCGTCTCTCTCTCCCCGACTCTCCTCTCTGCTTCAACTGTCTCTGCTTTGACTCTCTCGCTCTCTCTCGGCTTCTCAGTCTCACTCCGACTGGCTCTCTCTCTTGGCGTCTCCATCTCACTCCGACTGTCGCTCTCTCTGTCTCTCATATCTTCTCTCGTTCCTGTTCCACTGCTCGCCTATTCTATCCCTATCTTCTTCTTGTTCCTGCTCCACTGCTAGCCTATTATATCCCTCATATCTTCTTGTTCCTGCTCCACTGCTTCTCCCCCACTGTCTCCGTCCAACTCCCAGCAACCACTCCCCGTCCCTCTCTCAGGCCCCTCTCTCACGCCCCCCGTATATATCCCCGTCCTCATTAATTACCAATTCAATAAACGGCGTCCCCACCGACGCCTCGCGTCCGTGGCTTCCGCCGTTATCGTCCCCATCTCCAGACCTGCTGGCGCCACCTTGCCCCTGACAACAACAACCGGCCAATCACTGCCCTGCATCTTATAACCACTTAACGAACCGCCTCCCTCCGGCCTTTATCCTCCCAGCAACACCTGTTTGCCCGGACGTGACCCCACTCTCCATAACACACACGTGTTTCCAATTCCCCCTCTTGGCGCGCGTTAATCCACTACATGTTTATAACTCAGGCTCGGAACATTATCATCATCCTTGACATCATTATAACCAGCAACAGCCATAACAGAATTATTAACAACCGCATCAGTAGATGCAATATGCATCTTGCCTTCTTTTCTCAACCCCCTTTGTTTGGCAGGAGCTGAGCTAATTAGCTAGAATGTCCTCTCTCACCATCAAGAGAGCACTGTTGTTATTTAATCATATCCATGCTCCCACCCCAACAGGGGGCAAATTGAAAATGTTAAGCCCCACGGCATATGGGGTGGTAGCTGAGTGGGGTCTGCACCTTCAACCTGTCATGTATTAGGCAGTCATCGCCGTGGTGACGAGATGTTAACTCCCTTTCCTAGTATGCAGGAAGTCGTGGTTAAATTCCGACCCTGACGCCTGTATATTTGGAGTTTGCATGTTCTCTCCGTGATTGCATGAATGTTTTTCCGGGTCCTCTTGTTTTTCCTTCCACATTTGGAATAAAAATGCATTTAGAGTATGTATTTGGCTGCTATACATTTCCACATAAGCCACTACATTGAGCTATTATTTGTGGCCAGGTCACTTCTGAAAAAAGCTATATGACTCAGTGGTCCTTATCTGGTAAGTCCCTGATCTTCCATTTAATGGAGGAAATTTCCACACCATCTTCCATGCGTTGTTGTTGTTGGGACACAATTGAGAGTGCACCCCCCACTATCGTGCACCCCCCACTGTGTACGTGGCATAGAGAAACCAGGCTGTGTTCCTTAATCAGGTCTTCAATAAGGTTCTTTCTTTGGGGGAAAATAAAGTAAAGGTCCATGAGTGGAATTTACAAGAGCGGACAGCCTTAACAAAATCAAGTTCGCCCGCTGCCACCATGTAACAGGTGACCTCACCCCCCATTGCCGAGTATGGAAGAGAATGATAGCATATTAGAAGAAATGGTGCCGCTGTCTGTCACTTATCTCCTGCCAAGTAGAAAGCTGCAATAAATAATTGCAAGTGTGTCACTCAAGCAAGCGACATTTAGACGTTGTAAATAACAAATACTGTACAGGAAACTGGCTGTCCTCGATTTCACTTGAGCAGCGGTGCTTATGCACGAGTCGAATTGTGCAAGTCATTTGGTACTGGACATGGACATCTGTGGAAAAGTGCTTCATAGCTCATCGGATTTCTACAGGATAAATACAAAATCCGATTCTGGTACTCAGGCCTCGGGACCGATGCAACAATCATTACAGTGGTCCATCGGTTAACGATACTAATTGGTTCCTACGAAAACTATTGCTAAAATATGAAATGATCGTAAATCGAATAAACCTAGCTGAAATATTTAAACACCACAACTTTTATAAATAAACGTTATAAGAACATATTAAAGCATTACTATTAATAAACATGTATAAATATAATATCGTAAACAGATCGTTGATCATAAATGTTATCGTTAATTGAAACAATGGGACCCTATGGAAGGCGGATCGTTAATCGAAATATCGGTAATCGATGGTATCGTAAACCGAGGGACCACTGTACACAAATTGCTCGCATTATGAATGTAAGTTGTCGTCATGTCAGTCGATCCCTCTGCCCCCATGGCTCTGACTGAGCAGTCCTATTGAAGTGACTTCAGACACAGGGCAATGCACTGCTAAAAAAAGCATAAAGGGCTGATTCAAACATCACTCGCCACTGATGTTAGCCGTGGCCGGGAATTGAAATAAGGTCATGGCGTTTGCGGCACAGTGTGTAAAGCACTATATCGCCGCTCTACCCAACTAAACGATGCGATTTATATGTACAGTGATACCTCGGTTCACGAACGCTTCTGTTCACGAACAACTCGGTTCACGAACAGAAAAGTTCATAAAAATATGCTCCGGTTCACGAACTCCACTTCGGTTCACGAACAGGAGCCGCGGCCATTTTAATGCTATTTCCAGGCTGTCACATGGTCGTGACATCCTGTAGGAAGATCGTGGAGAGAAGAAGAGACACAGAAATACGTACTGTGAGTACTGTGAAGACAATTTCAGTGACTTTTTGCTTTTTGGTGTGCTTTTTAGCACATAGAGTACTGTACTGTACTACTGTACTGTACAATACTGTACTTACTGTATTGTACAGTTCACCCGTTTGAGTGCTTACTGAAGTCATCTCAAGCAAGGTTAGTGTTCTCTCTTTATACATTACTATACTGTACAGTACTAATGTGTATTGTAATTTGTTTCATATTTTTGTGCTTCAAAAATAAAAAAAAAGGTCAGAATGGATTAACCGGATTTACATTGAACCCTATGGGAAAATGTGCCTCAGTTCACGACCAATTCGGTTCGCGACCAGAGTCAGTTCACGAATTAAGTTCGTGAACCGAGGTATCACTGTATATAAAGTATTACGTGTTTAAATGGTGTTGATCCTTTACATGTTATTAGCATGCACAGTATATGCTGAGCTTCTGTTATCTGTACCTGATAGCATCACATGACCATTCGGGAAGACCTGGTTAAACGAATACACAATTTAGGATTTGAGTTCACAAACTGCTCATTGGACTTGTTAATGATGATGCTGCACCATTTGATTTATCTCACCAGCTACTCTGTGCACGATGTTTGAAGAATTAATGCATGGCTCTTTCGAAGGAAGCAACAAAATCGGAGACTCCGTCAGATTCAAGTGTGATGAGCGGTGAGAGACACACACACACATGGTATTGTTAAGATCGGGCCCAGGCGGGTAAAACTTGAAGGTCACTCTAGAGAAGCCACATGGTGGCGGCATGACAGTGAAACGCAAGTACCTCTAAGCTCTCTCACCTTGTTTTTGTATATCATTACTCGCTTATTATTGAGTCTACCAATACTTATACAAAATAATTGTATATGTGGTACACTATGGAAAGGGAGAGGAAGAGCCAAGAATATAATGTAGATGTAGTGACATCTTGGATGTTACCGAGTGGTGCCGGCCCTAGAGAGGCATGGCGTGCGATGTACTCGCATTGCGGACATCACTTATGGAGTGACATCGTGGATGTCACTGGGTAATGCCGGCTCTCGTGAAGCACGGCGTGTGATGTATTGCCATCGCGGACACCCCGTATATGTGGGTGTAGTACCAGCCCTGGAGGGGGCTCTGTGAGCGCTGAGTGACAGCGCCAAGTGGCACCACACTCCGCGTGTAGTGCTGCCCCCTACAGGGTAGGGTGTGAGATTGCAGGCCACGGGAACGAGGTTACTGTGGGCCATGGCACTCCTGGTTGACCCCGAAGGACACGTGACCAGTAAAGTCAACATGGCGCCCCAGGTGGGGGCTAGGGGGTGGTCACGTGTCGGGGGAAAGATCTTACGAGAAGGGGCGAGAAACGACAAGAGGTTTCTCGAAGGTGGTCGTGGCCAAGGGCGCTGGACCTGGACCCAAGCCGAGGTCCGGTCCGTTGTAGCTAACTCCCAGTGTGTTAGTGTAGTTTAGCCTGGTGGTCCACCACCATAGGCTGTTATCTGGTAAAGGGGCAGTTAATGTTTTGGTACGAATTAATGTGTTGCCTCCAAGAAGTACGTCTGCGACTCAGTTGAATCCACTACATATACAAAAAGAAAGATGGGTGGGGAAAGGGAGTCAAGAATGGGAAATAATAGGAAAAGGATGGAAAAGGAACTGAAAAAATGGACCAATGGGTGCAGGAGAGGTAAGGAGGAAATGGTAGCTACATAAGGGGCCTCGGACGCTTCTTCACAGAGCAGTTTTGTTTTTGCAGGGGGTGGGAAGAGAGGAGGGATGGAGTTGGGTTGGGTCACACATACGTTACGTATGTGTGACCCAACCCAATAATACATTGGAGCGTTTGTTCACATGACAACTTTATTAATTGGTTAGGCTGGGTGGGTGAGGGTTTACAGCACACATTTTACACACGCGATCTAATCCAACAATCTATTTTGAAGCACTTTTCAGTGTTGCTGGTTTATAAAAATGATGGTCAAACCAAGTATATTTTAATATGAAACTGTTATATACAAATAACATGGCTGTACCTTGTGTTTAATATGTTATGATCAATATGGTACACTACAATGTTGCGTAGATCACCTCGTAGTTGATTTGTGTAGATGTGGCAAAATCTGTGCAAGTAAAGGAGCATGCCAGATGTTAACTACCTTACCTGGTATGCAGGAGGTCGTGGGTTCGATCCCAACCCTGATGCCTGTATATTTGGAGTTTGCATGTTCTCCCCGTGGTGACAAGGATTTTTCTCCGGGTCTTCCGTTTTTTCTTTCCGCATGTTGAAACATGCATTTAGAGTATTTGGTTGCTATACATTTCCACATGATAGGCCACTTTGTTAAGCTATCATTTGTGGACTGGTCGCTTCATAAAACGAGCTATACAGCTCAGTGGGCCTGACCTGGTGAAATAACAATAGTTTAGTTCGTTTGTACAACTTATAAGCATCCTTGTGTTTGAACATGGTGTTATTAACATTCCGTGACTAGCACAGAATTCCAATAACATCTCACCGTTCGGGTTCAGATCAGGGGAGGGAGGGCATTCCTCCCAATCATGCCTCTCCACATATCTCCATATAAGCGCACAACTTTATCTATCTGTGATGAACACTGCACTTTCCGTCGTTTTCATGCAGGGGGCGCTGCAAACCTACGTGCCCCCTGCATGAACGACGGTGAAGGTACGCGGTAGAGCTGTATGCACGTGCTAGCATTGACGTTGAACCAAAGTGAATGTTGACATCTCTGTCGTGTCCCCCAAGTTTTTTGTTGGTTGGAAGTTACGAACTCACCTGTCTGAAAAGTGGAAAATGGACAGGAGATGCTCCTACTTGCCAGCGTGAGTGATGCTGCACTTTCACCAAGTACCTGCCACATTATTCACTTCCTTTCCCGATGCACAGGGAATATGACGTTATTTTAGAAATTGAAGTACGTCAAATCTGAAGGCCTAAGTCACCAAGGAGCCCTTCGAATGACCTTCTTTATGGCAACCCCAGATTACAGTTTTTGATAATTGGAAAGTGTACGAAGTCTCTGAGTTTAATGTCTCGGTTAATTAATGGTTCTGACTGGTGTATCTGAAACAACTTAGATATAAATCAGCTGAAAGATCCCCGAAGTTTAATCAGATCTAGTCTCCATTTCTCTATATCCCACTGTGCCCCAGTAAATATCTAACTTTGGACCAACATAGGTCCAACGGTCCAACCATGTTCCAATGTTGCTCCAACGTTGTATGTTTGCAGGTGCCTAACCTAAATGCCATATTCACAATAGAGTTTTTTGGATTGGATCGCAGTAAATATAAGTGTCATTAAACCCGCCTCCACCCGTGAGAAACAGCAAACAATAAACCCGCAATATGCAAGGCTCTCCTGCACACCATTCCCTCGTTATTCACGAACTTGCTATCCATGATTTTGGCTATCCGCAAATCGCATTTGGAACTCTACACGGCTGCATCGAGAGAAAGTGATGAATGAAATAAAGTAATGAGAGAGAATGTGATGCGATAAAGTGATCAGATAAAGTGATGATGCGTAGCATCATAATGTAAGGTAAGTTGATTTATAAACTATAATTTAATACATTAATATTTATTTGTAATTACTTTATTATTATTTTGTCCCCTTTATTATGATAATTTTCATGTATAGCTTATGGATGTATTTATTTAAGGTAATTTATTAAATAGATAGGTTTTCGTAAGGCCAATATCATCCCCGAAATGTTCTCTTCACGAGCATCTCTGGAACGTATCCCTCGCAAATAACGAGGGAATACTGTATTGATTTCATTTGTACACTGAGGTGACTTAATTTTTTTAATGGAAAGAACTTCGTGGAGCGATGTTAAGTTGTTCTACTGCATTTGTGAAGTGCCAAGCAGAATAAAACGTCAGTTTTTACTGGCCCCTCTGTTTCAACTGACAGACGACGATGGAAGCATCCGCTATCATTGTTTCAAGCAGAAGCTTGAAGGCATAGACTGTTTCGACGACCATAAGGGTGGACTCCCCAGTTAACACAGAACGCTGAGCCAGCGTTGGCCCAACATTCTATGTTAACTCGGTCTGAGCCTGGCTCCGTACCTATAAGTTGCGTTTGAACACGTTTCTCTTCAATTTGCGGCATGTATGTCCATTGCAAATTGTGTTATCCTTTTAGGATTTGAAGGTTTCGAATCCTTGATTAAAATTCACGTTTCAACTTCATGCAGGTGCGACTACACGTGTGAATTCGCCATCATGTTGGTCCTTAAGTTGCCCTCCTACGAGTCGGCCTCTGTCGACCACAAAGGCAAACAACGAATGGTTAGTGGGAATGTATAACACGATCGTGAATGTTCCCGGCAAGTGCAGCTTCAATGCTCACAGATTGCAATTCCGTACCAGCCGCTTGCTGGAGAACAAGGCAGCTTGTGCAACAGCAGCAGCCTGGTTTCAGAAGCCTATGGCCATACACGCCCTCCATCATCGCCAAGTCCCATTAGGCCTGTAGAAGGCTGACCCATATCATGCAAGGGCTCTGAAAACAGAGAAAGCTTCTTAAACCAGACAAGTCTGCTGAATCCAGGCAATACCTACTATAATCTCCCAGGAATCTCCTTAACGCTCGTGACGTCACTCCACATCAGCCCCCATTATTAATATCCATGAGCAGGTGACGTCCTTTCAAATGCACATTCCCTCCACCCCTCATTAATAATCATGCGCAAGTGACGTCACTCCACATCGAACAGCCACCTTCATTACTAATAATGAGCAGGTGACATCCTCGAAATGGACACCCCCCCCCCCCCCCATTATTATTAGCTACTATCATAAGCCAACAATGTCTGTGTGCAACGATCGTGACGTCACTCCATGTCGACCAGCCCCCTCATTAATAATCATGAACAGGTTACGTCCTCCACATGGACCCCCCTCATTAATAATCATGAGCAGGTTACGTCACTCCACATCGAACAGCCCCCCTCATTAATAATCATAAACAGGCGTCGTCCTCCACATGGACCCCCCTTATTAATAATAATTAGCAGATGATGTCACTCCACTACAAAGGCAGAACCCTCATGTCACACGATCTCCGTAGCACTATTGAGACATCAAAGTAAAAAGGACGTCATGGTGAACAAAAAGTGTAGATCAAGACAAGACTTCTGAAACCAGAGGTTTTTGAAACTGGCGTTGTGTGTGCAATTGCACGTTTTCTGATGATGCTGCTGCTGCTTCACAAGCCGCCTGTTCTACAGCAAGCGGTTTGCTAGAGTGACAGTTACCATCGTGTTACGTTCCCACTGATAAATAATTCGTTATTTGTCTCTGTAGTCCACGAAGATGAGGATGGTGACGTGCAGAAGTAATTAGCAATAATACGATAAAGTTATACAAATGTGTAATTATTGTTGTTATATGACAAAGGTGCTACGGTTCTCAGGTGCAGAAGCCTAAATGCCTTCTTTGCTTTTCTTGTGCAGCATTTTGTGCTGGTCAGCCAAAACCACAAAATGCAATGATTTCTACAAATCATCAGCATAAGGAAAAGTATGCCATTGGCTCTTCAATTACATTCCAGTGCCTTCCGAGATACAGAGCAATTAATGCTGGGTATGACTTCAACGTGTCCTGCCGGGAGGATATAAGCAGAGGGGTCCAGTGGTTACCAGAAAACACCTGCATTTACGGTGAGTTTTGTACACAAGCACAGCCTTGCGTATTTTTACGTCCATCTCCCTCAGTTTAATTGTAGTCGAGTTCGGGTCACAGCCAAATGTATCATCCTTCACGTCTCCTCAAATCACTGCGTTGGACAAAATAAGACTACTTGATATGTGAATCCTCTGGAGCATTTTACCCACAGTAAACATGCAACGTTGGTTCATGTTGAACCAAAATTGATCCATGGTTATTGGGTAACTGAATATATATTAATACTTAAGTCTAAACTATTTTAAACGTTAAAAGTGAACAATGGAAGGTTATTGAGAAGCTATGTGTAGTTTACCAAACGGAAATGCACAACTAAGGTATATATTTATAAAAAATTAAAAAATACATGGTTCAATATTCGCGACTCGTTTTTATAACTTTTTTGTTGTTGAATGTTCTCCTTGCATCCGTTAGGTTTCTAATCAACATGACCGAACGTGCTATCAAATGTGGAAGTATTTATTTTAAATGTTTGTTGTTCCTGCATCTCTGGCAATTGTGTCAGATGGATGGGGAAAAAACTGCTTCTGGCATGAATATAATTAATGCTATTAAAATAATATGGAAATAATTACAATAATTAAATGTATATTTATTAAATAACTTTGCTCATAGTAAATTATTATAATTATTAAATTACTAATTAAATTATTATAATTAAACACCAATGTTTATAATTAAATTGCCCGTTAGCCGTGGTGGCTTTATTTTTTGTTAAGAACTGAATTTACCACTCATGTTCGTCAGCTAGCTCGCTATACACGTGTCCCATTTTTACATTTGTAGTGTTGTAAAGGACGGACTCCTTTATGGCACACACTGTTTATTATCTTAATACACAGTCCCTATCACACAAAGGGGTATATGGTCCCCTCACCCGTTACCCTGAGGAGACACAGCCTCCGGACCTTGCAGGCTATCTAATCTCCCTGCTATTCCAGCATCCTCTGGCTGGACCTAGGGGATCTCTCCCCGACCACTGGTTACACTGAGCCCGAGCCCTGACAAGGGCTGGAGGGCTTGGTCCTGGGTCCTAGATGTCTTCGGCCGACTTGGGTCTTCGTGTAGCAGAACTGGCCAAGAGCTCTCAGCGCTCTGGCTTTTATACCTGTTCGTGGCCGGGTTGTCCAATCCCCGGCCACCTTGTGGGACCGTCCGATTGGTCCTTCCCAATCTGGCGTTTGGATCCTACCTCGCCCCCTTTGACCCTGACCGTTTGATTGAGCGGGAAAACCTTGTTTACGATCCGCTCTCACAGTTTGCGAACAGCGAGTAGTTAACACCACTACACATTTACCGGTTGATGCTGATATTTTCTTTCCCATTATTCTTACAGCTGAATGCGAACAAAATGTTTCAATAAAAAATGGACACGTTATAAGTGGTTTGGTAAAAGGACTACACTTTACCATCGGTTATTCTTTAATAATCAAATGCAATTACAACTCTAAAACAAAACTAAATCAAACCGCATTTATAAAAAAATGCTGTCAAGACAGCAATGGATTCGTTTTCTGGAAGAATGTCAATGAAGATGAGTGTTAAAATCGTAAGTACGCTGGAGTGACGGACACAATTCCAAGGGTTGTTTGTTAGCAGTCAGCTACACACCTCCTGTTGATAGCTTCGGTAATACATCTTTTGTACCAGATATTAATTTCTGTATTTTATGTACCGTGCCAAATCTGACTCGGATGTTTTGTTTTTTCAAACATCTGGCTAGTTTATCAGGTGTGTATCGGATTAACTGGACTTGTGGCAAATGCTATATTGAGCAAAACAGGACGAATGATCAGCACGAGACTAAAAGAACACCAAATAAATATCACATGCTCCCAAATACAACTGTCAGGAGTAGTAAAACATGCGTGCTAACAAGGACACTCAATTGATTTTGATAATGTTGAAGTCCTGTGCAAAACTAGCTACTACCGAAATAAATAAATAAATAACTGTTCTGATAGCTACCGACTTAGTGCTGCATGGAAGCGAATAATCAAACAATACATTGTTTAAATGCATGCCTATACAGGCCACCATACTTCAATAGGGATTACTCTTGGTACGGCTATTTTAATACACAAATGGACAGGAAGGACAAGATCAATGGGCCCGCATAATGTACATGCATAAGTACATTGACTCAAGAGCGCAGAAGTGTGGTCACCACATTTATCCCTCTATTTAAGAACAAAACAGGAGGATTTCTACACAAATCTGTCTGTCGCCTCGTAATGCTCGTTGTAATTACTGGCGAAACATCGTACTCAAATGGTAAATGTTAGTGGGTTTACTCTCCAACACTCCGGGGTGCTGTACTAGTAAAGAATTTGCATGTTTTGTTTACATGACAAACCTCACTAATTGGCTGTTTCGGGTGGTGGCAGGTTTAACGACACATTTATATTTATGCGATCTAACCCAAAAAAAAACTATTATGGGTACCCAATTTTACAAAAAACATTAAAATGCACCTTGCAATATACATTATTACGACCCTATCGTTCGGTATATTGTAAAATATATTGTCCAGTGTTCACTTGGTAATTTGTGCGTGTCATGTGTGAAGAACCGTGAAGTACAACGTGTTTCATGACACAAGTTAATCAATGTTCTCATAATAAAAGTCACTGAAGCCATTATTTGTACCACTGTTAATATCAATGATATATTTCAGACTGGAGAAGAAGATGAATGAAGCATTGGTCCTGGGTGATATGACCCTTACACAAACGTATCAGTGCGTTCTCACCATTCGTGTGGTCTCTTGGCCTCCCCAACATTTTGAACTGTGACACTGATTCATGGCCGTGTTCAAATGTAGCGGTTAAAAATTTGCGTGCAAATGCTGTAACTGAAAAGTATATGCATTAATTTTAGCGTTGGGATAAGGGAATTAGGGATTAGCTAATTTCGTAACCTGAATCTGATAAAAAAAAAATGGGTACATCCTGCGGGCCTGCTGCTGGAAGTGGGATCCCCCCGTCGTTCTGTTCAAGATCGTCATCGTCACCATCTCGTCGTCGTCACCATCTCCTCATCATCATCTCCGTCTTCACCATCCCGAGGTGCTGTTAGACAGCCTACCAACTGTTCTAAGTAGTGCCGCCGACAATAGACGGTCTTAATAATAATAATAGTGTGCACCCACGTAGGGTGTTGTGTGTTATCCCGATGGTGCTTGTTTAATAAAATAAGTACCTCCAAGTATTACTGTCTCCGATCTGCGTCACTACACATGTGTAGTGAGCGACTTCTGAGACACGTCGAGTAGAAGGCTTCTTATTTATTCTAAGCACACGGGGCGATACACTTCTTAACGCAGCTACACATAGGCAATCCTAACACACAGTCCATCTCCGGCATACGCTAGCTGTCCGACTAGTGTAGCGGTGGCGACGGAGAGGGTCTTGCAGAAGAACAGCCACGTGGTCGGAGACGAAGAGATGACGACGGGCAGTGACGCAGCCAGGACCCCGGACCCGCTAACAGCCCCGAACCTCTGGTTCGGTCCCCCTTATATCTGCCCGACGCGGCCGAGCTCCACCTCTGGCAACGCCCCCTTTCCAGAAAATTCGGGCTGGTTCCCGGAGCTTCTCGACTGACTCCGCCCTTCACCTTTACCCCAGATACGCCCTCCTTATAATAAAGCATTATGTAATGCAGCCATAACCGTAATTACCCCTCCAGGCCGGCAGGTGTCACCCTGTCATTACACACGTATCAATGATAAATATTTGATGTATTCAAGTAAAACATGCAAATACTTATTTTTTTTCTAATATTTGCAAAACTACATATTAACCTCTTGAATTTGTGATCATATACAAATTAGAAAATATTTAGTTGAAAACTAATTATTACACAATGTGTTGATGCTAAATAAGCGACACCATTAATATAAATAAGGAAATATTGACAATTAAATTTTCATCCCAAACTAATTTTTGTAAAAACAAAATCGAGTCTTATTTATATTTACGTCGAGGCGATTGACGTAGCTTACAAATCGGTGACATAATGGTTTGATGTAGTTGACAGGGGCGGGTGTACAAGGAAAGAAGAATGAGTGACAGCAATAGAGGGGTGCTTAAGGGATCATGGAAGGGTCGGGGAGGGACGGGAAGGAGTGGACTAGGCGAGGGGAGGGAAGAGGAAGAGAATGGGCGATGGAGGAGAGGTGAGACTTCAAGACAGGAACGGAAGGAGGTTAAGGATGGGGAGGGCTTAATGTACAGATGCAGTGTTGAGTCTATGGGCAGTGTTGCGTCTATGGGCAGTGTTGAGTCTATGGGCAGTGTTGAGGCTGTGGGCAGTGTTATGTCAATGGGCAATGTTGAGTCTATGGACAGTGTTGCGTCTATGGGCAGTGTTGAGTCTATGGGCACTGCTGCTCAATGTACAAGGATGTTGATTCCAGTGGGGGGGGGGGGGGGGGGTGCAAGGACAAAGAAGGGCCAGAGAGAGAAGATTGGGAACGAAGAGGAGGTGGGGCAAGGCCATGGCAAGATTTAAAGACGAGCAACAGCGGCAATAAACGGGAAGCCAGTGGAGTTGCAGGGCGAGACCATTCTGGCTCCAGGAGCCACCTGTGCCTCTTACTCATAAAACAAGTGCGACCTGACTTAGACTTCTCCACATGCACCCTGAGAGCGTAGCAGCATCAGGCCACTATCCGCGTCAAATCAGGGCTTCAGACTAAAATAATTATTTAATTTTACCTCTTAGCTATAAGCTCTTTTTCAGAGTGGCTCATATTATCACGTGGTAATTTATAGTAGCGAACAAAAAACCTAAATGCATGTTTCCAAATGTGGAAGGCAAAACCGGAGGCGCAACCCAGAGTGAGAGAGAGAACACTCGAACTCCAAATATACAACAGGTATCGTTAGGGTCGGGATCGAACCCTTGACCTCCTGCGTACCAGGCGAGGTAGATCACATCTTTGTACCATGGAACTCCACGAAACATAAAGAAGGGCGAATAAGTTTTCATCAATACCTTGCTGTTATCGTCAACGAGCGTATACCATCACGCGAACTCTGGTCATCCTTGCAGCGGCTTTTGGCTAAGTCATCGGAACAAAGTCACCGCATCACGTGCTTTCAGATGTGCTTCTGAAGGCTTTCAGATGCGTCTGGAACGCTCTTTCATCTGATATTAGGAAGCCAGTGGAATAATGCACTTTCTAGATTGAAAACGCGTTTCGTTCAAACTGCTTTTTGTGTTCAGTTTTTTTTACCTCCCCCATCACCTCCGATTAGCACGGTTGGCTACGTACGGTGCAAAAGAAGTTCAACATACATATGTAGTAAGTTCGAGGAGACGATGTCGAAGTTGAGGCACACTCTGTTTATTAACTCCGGGACAGGTACAATAGTTGAAGGGGTATCGGCCCCTTCACCCGTACTATGGGAAACCCACCCTAGTCCTAAGCCCTCTGTCCTGTTCCCCAGTCCTCCTCTACTGGGCTACGGGAGGCTGACTGATCTGGCCCTGGCAAGCACAGATCTCGGCACCAGCTAACCAGCCTTGCCCTGATAAGGGCAGCGGTCTGGAAGCTCTTGGGCCGCGCCACTGGCTTACCCGGCTCGGCCCTTATAAGGACGGCGAGACCGGGGAGTCCCAGGGCCTAATCTCCGAGTCTTGGATCTTCACTGGTCAGCTTCGTGTCGAACTCAACTCGAGCTCTTTGGGTCTCCACCTTTTATAGGGATCGCCTCCGAGGGCTGGGGGCGTGGGCAATAACTGATGCGGACGTCGGTGTGACCACCCGTGTATGTGAGTGCCGACAGCCCTGTGTTTTTTGTCCGCCGTTTCTCCCGTAATAACCCCTACACATACAAACTCCCTGCTCTCGAAATCATCATCGGCATGAAATCAACGTGGGATTATAAAATGTCGTGGTGTGAGATTGCAGCAAAGAAGCTGTAGTTCTCCATCCCCCCCTGCCCCCGGACACCTCGTAAAAGGGGTGATGTGGCCACAAGCAAATCAAACAGCCTTGCAGGTCAGAAATGTCAAGTCTGCTGATTACAGAGGCTCACACGGGATATGAGAAAGAGTGTCTCAGGCGGCAAACGGGAGAGGCCAAGGACAGTGGGTGATGGCTTGACCGGAGGTCTCTGAAGAAAATCCATCGCGTTAACCAGGGCGACCGGAGGAAGTGTTACCGCAAGGAACTCATCCTCATCCTTGTGAAAACCCGATTTTGCCAGCAGGTGCAACTACAACATTTAAGGGCTGGGGGTGGTGGAAGCGGGGGAGGTATGTGGGGTTGAAACATCATCACTCGATGTTCGACTGTATGAAATATTACTTGGAGTGTATCTTAATAATATACGCCTTTTGGCGTCATCTGGTCCAATACCAATTGAGACTAGGCTCTAAGAAAAGCCGTCTCGGGTGTGAACTAATCAATTTCAAGGACAGTGCATATCATTATCAGAGTTGTCTCTTTTTGTTTGCATTTTGACTACTTGTGTTGTGGATATTACAAACATGATCCCTTGTATAAAGGTGTCAGTTTTGGTGCCAGATAAAAGGGTAAAAACCTCGATTTTAAGCTTTCGTGACTGCAGGGATTCATCTTCTTGGTTCTTTCGGTAAAGTCACGTAGAAGGGAAGTACCTGAGGACGGCTGCTTGCGTTGTGGCCGAAACGTCGTGAGAATTATATTATTTTATTACGTTTTGTTTTTATTATTTTATTACTTCCCTTCTGAGTGACTTTACCGAAAGAACCAAGAAAAGGGTAAAAACCTGTTACTGCTAATATGAAAACATTTTATAAAATGCACAACCAATGTGTGAGCACACAAGCGGTCGAGTGACCAACATTGTAGCTGCATGAGGTTTTTTGCCTTTCTTTTTTTAAATGCACAACTTAACCAACCGAACTTTGGGCCATTGCACAATTTTACCGCGATGGCAGTAACTGGATGGTTCTGTTTATTTTGTACCCGAATTGCAAAATCATAACAATTTTCGCAATTCCGTGCCGAAAAAAAGTGGCGAAGTGACGGCCAAAATAGCTGCACGAGTCAGGGCCTTGGAGTTGCCTTACAGCCCACAAACGTCATACTTCATATAGGCAGGCCTGCCTGAATGTATGTTTTTGTTAATCTTCTTTCGCACCGTACGTAGCCCACCGTGCTTATCGGAGGATACCGTTTTCCCAAAACCTTGGTACTGTTTCCTTTAAACGTATTTTACATTTGAGCCAAGCACGTCGCTTTGCAACGCGAGTTTGTTTTTGTATGCGCTTCTTTGTGTTGGGAACGCGTCTATTTGCTGTTTCCGATGTGGGGGTGCGGCTGTAGTAGGGAGTTATTAAATTAGCCGGGGCATGGTGGCGCATACCTGTGATCCCAGAGATTTTGGAGGAGAGAGTTGTGCAGATAAACATATTGACTTGTGCAACACTAAATCCACTGAACCGTGGCTAAAAATGTTTTTGTTATAGCAGGTGGGTTCCATGAAGCCATACGTGCAGACCGTGGAGTGCCACGCCTCTCGATACGCATATAGGCATTCTCCACGTGAGTGCAGTGGACGTAAGAGTGTGAAGGTCAGAGACCAGTATAAAGGTATCCATCGATTTAAAAAGAAAATCAGCTCGTGTGCAGGTGCTACAGGTCGATTGTTACGTCACACGGCCGTGAGAGATGATGTCAGCTTTTTGGGAGACCTTCATCCAGCAGTGGATGAAGGCCTCCCAAAAATGTCTGCTGAGGAATAGATGAGAGCGGAATCTTCACTCAAACACCTGGCTCGAGGTGTGCGTGAATTTTCGACTGGATTGCTCAATTACATCATTCACAACACAGGAACGGGTTGTCTCTCCCTTTGTCAAGAGAAACGTGCGTGAAAGGGGATTGTTGATCAACGTGTGAAATAAGCAGTGGCGCGCAGCACCCCCGGTTAATTGGTGCTTGTGAAAAGCGGCTGGTGCAGTTGGGATAATGAGACCTGGGTTGAGAATCATTCACCGCCGTGGTGTCGACGCCGCTAATTTCGCTCAGCCAGAGATGGGACAAGGTCGGATGTGCCACGTGCCGTCGAGCGTTTTGGGTTTTTTTTATTGCAAGCTCGTTGCAAAGAGCAAGCCACCCAGAGGCGTGGCCTAGGAGCTCCCAAAATTAAATGCGGACACTCTCGCAACGGTACGGGATCCTACACAGCGGGGAATTTGCGAATAACTTTCGTTTCGAATGTTATTACCGGGGATGGAGGAGGGGGGGCTTGTTAAGTAGTAATAATAAATACAATTTAATGAATGCCAAAACTGGGCCAATCCTGGACTGGTAGGGAAATAAATGTAACGCGCAGTAGGCTTTTCGTGACCAATATTATTGATGGTCAATTTTGTTGGGTTAGGATCGTGTCGGGTGTAGGTGGCTGCACGACACATTTACATTACGCGTTCTAACCCCCCAAAAAAACCCCGTTATTGTGAATGGCAGGAAGCACTCGTCGTTTTCAAGAAATGCATAAAAATGATATCCAGCCAGGATACCAATATAAATAAGGTACACCCATCTTAATACCAACCACGCGATTAAATACCTTGACGATATTTACTATAGATTACCTACTGGATTGCCAATGACCACGTAAACGAATCGCCAATTTCAAATGTTGCCCTGCATTGATCCAACCTTGTTATATACGAGGAGATAAGCAAGGTTGATTTCTGGTTAGTACATCTCTCCCCACCGCGGCGCTAATGGTCGCGGCTCCTCGTTGAGATGATGCTTTTGTGTTTACTTCTGAGCTTGTCACTGTTGACAATCTCGGGGCTTGCCTGTTACCTGAAATCATAACATTTGCAGTCACAATGCGCACGCTGAGCTGAGCTGCATTGGCTTCGGGGTGCCGCACGAATACGTTATACCAGCGGTCGGGAACCTATGGCTCGCGAGCCATATATGGTTCTTCCGGTGACGGCATATGGCTCCCAGAAAATTTTGAGTTGGAAAAAGTAATAATAATAAAAAATCAGTTTGGAACTGATTTTAAAATACTTGTGATATTGTTTAATAATACTGTGTCATTTTAAGGTAAACAGAAATTAGTTTTGAAGATAAATTTCACGGGTCACGCCTGCACGAAGCTCAACCTCACCACGTATGAACCAGACTACAAGGCCATCAGCAAAACCACGCAGCACCAGAAGTCGCATTAAAAGTAAGACATATTTAATTTATTATACGTTAAAAATACTATATGGCTCTCAATGAAATATATTTAGAAATATTTGGCTTTTATGGCTCTCCCAGTCAAAAAGGTTCCCGACCCCTGCGTTATACGGTCGCACTCATTGTGCTTGCCACAAATGAACCACAATACATTGCTCTGATCTCGTCAAGAAGCATAAACCATCACACGCGAACTCCGTTCATCCTGGCAGAAGTCGCTTTTGGCTGGCCATCGAACAAAGACGGTCACCGCATCGCGCGCTTCCAGATGTGCTTTTGCGGTCGTCTGGAACGCCCTTTCATACGATATTCGGAAGCCATTGGGAGCTATACATTTACAAATCTAAATCGCAAACTCATTTTTTTAGGACTGATTTTGTCTTTAGTTTATTGTCTTTCCCCCACACCTCAGATTGGCACGGTTGGTTACGTACGGTGCGAAACAAGTTACACACACACACACATTGTTTGTGTGCTCGGTACAAACCTCCGCCCCTCTCCCGTCATTAATGCTCCCACGGCTGCCTCAGCAAAGGTCAGTAAAGGTCACACTCACTTCGTAAAGGTAGATGCAACCTACAAAACAAATTTTCCGCATCCTCCGGATTATGAACAAAAACAGAGGGGAGATGAGGGGGGTGGTGGAGGGGGGGGTAGAATGGGGGACAAAAGGCGACGAGGGTAACTCTTATTGTGTAGCGAGTGAAAAACAAGCACGCATATGCATGGCGTGCTCCGTGTTGGGCTGGTGTATTGTGTCCGTCCGTCGTGCATCCAAAAATGGGAGGGGTGGAGCTGGGTGGAGAGCGGAGGGTGGGGAGGTGCTGGGTGGGGAGGATGGGGAGGGGCTGGGTGGGGAGGGTGGGGCTGGGTGGAGAGGGTGGGGAGGGGCTGGGTAGGGAGGGTGGGGAGGGGCTGGGTGGGGAGGGTAGGGCTGTGTGGGGGGTGAGAGGGGTGGGGCTGGGTGGGGAGGGGCTGGTCACCCCGTGGTGCCCTTATAAAACTCAACGTTTAACCTACTCACGCCGGCTTGTGCCCGCCCTCACAGTCGGGCATATTTGCGGAATACACCACGCCGCCGTTGACCCTGGCCATTGACCGAGCAACCCAACGTTCCTACCAGCTCCCTCCGCAGGAATGTGTTTTAGAGCAGTGGTTCTTAAACTTGACTACAGCCTTCACCCCCTTAGGTTCTCAGAAAAGACATCCCGCTAGTGCCTCCACTTTTTGGGTTTCCTTTGTGGCAACGTCTTGTCAAATCTAACGACTCACTGTAGATTAATCTATGCATGTGTGGTGCAGTGAAGTGTGGGTATCGTGTATGCATTTATGTAGAACTACTTTCGCACCGTACATAGCCGACCAAGCTCATCGGTGGGCTAAAAAAAAAGCAGTTTTATAGAAATACTTTTCAATCTAGATTTAAACGTGCATAGCACCACTGGCTTCCTAATATCAGGACGAAGAGCGTTCCAGACGGCCGCAGTAACACATCTGAAAGCGCGCGATAGTGACCTTCTTTGTTCGTGGGCTAGCTAAAAGCTTCTGCGAGGAAGACCAGAGTTCGCGTGATGGTTAATATTCCTTGACGAGACTCTTACCTCTTACAAAACGTCTGGTCAAGCATGAAAGAGTGGGGCAAAATACCCCCTGAGATGGGCTCTAACAGTGCTCCCTCTACGCGAAGGCCCTCCTGCAAGCAGTGGCGTGAGGAAGCAGTTACAGAGCTGCGCCTGTGCCTTTTTTAAAGAATGAAATCAACAACTTCATAATGACTTTAATAAGCACTCTCTATAAATAAGCACACCAGTCACGTGCCAGTGCCCTCATTAAGGCGCTAAGGAAATTCACTTTAAAGTGGGCTGTGTGTGTGTGCCGACGTCATGGTCTGAACCATTACTCGCAAATTACTATGCTTAATCGGAAAAAAAACAATTGCCCCCCTCCCCCCCCCCATGCAGACAGACTAATGAACTCCTTGTAGGTTGGTGCTCTGTTGTTCACGTTATGTCGCACGGGTACAGCTACCATCAGGAGCATCCCTGGGGATAGTTGGTTCGTTCGTTTCTCAGTCCGCTTGTCCCGGTGGGGGTCGCGGCGACAGCGTGTTGAGTAGTGACGGTCCCAGACCTCCCTTTCCCTGGTGACAGACTCCAGCACTACATTACTATACACTACTACACTACACTATACACTACTATACACTATAATACACTTCAATACCATACACTACTACACTATACATTACTATACACTACACGAAACACTACTATACACTACAATACCATACACTACTACACTATACATTACTATACACTACTACACTACACTATACTGTACACTACTATACACTATAATACACTTCAATACCATACACTACTACACTATACATTACTATACACTACTACACTACACGAAACACTACTATACACTACAATACCATACACCACTACACTATACATTACTATACACCACTACACTACACTATACACTACTATATACTACACTACGATACAATACATTACTATACACTATACATTACTATAATACACTATACACTCCACTATACACTACTACACGTTCCACTACACTGCAATACACAACACTACTATACAAAACATTACTATACACTACTATACGTTACTATAATATACTACTACACAATACACTACTACACTGTACACTACACTACTATACATTAGTATACGCTACACTAAAAACTACTCTCTACACTACAATATGCCGACTCTAGTTCTTCCTGAGTAATTCCCAGGCGTTCCCAAGCGACATCGTCCCGCCAGCGTGACCTCGGGCATCTTCACCCACTGGATAGTGTCCTTCACTCCTTTTCAGAGGGGGGGGCACTTTCGCCGATAAGACATCATCAGTGTGTGGGGGCCGTCACACATTTAAACCCATTGGGGGCTTGACAGCAGCACGCTGATGATGATGGGTGGGGTGTTTTCACAATTTGTGTTGTCGGGGGTGGGGGGCACACTACAGGCCACCAAGGGGCCGCCAGTGGCCCGCGGACTTTGCGACAAAGAACACCGCCGGGGGGTTAACAAAAACCTGTGCGATATAAATGAACCTTGTGGCGGGACCCCGGGGTCCCGAATAAACGGAAGTCAAAATCGTAATTAGTTCATTTATTTTTGGCCACTCCGTCCCACCGCGCACATAAACGCCGTGACCCACCTGGCGCGGATCGTTCGGTTGTCGTGTCGTCCAAGCGCAGCAGCGAGGACGAATGCGCAGAAGAAACAAAACTTTGATTAGCGCATCGTGTAGAGCTCGTCGAGAGGAATAGGTTGCCGCGTTGTTCGCCTTCAACAGACATAAAATGACGTCGCAACGCAGTTTATGCGAGAGCCGGGGGCTTATGGGACCCCGGGGTCCCGCCATAAGGTTCAAATGTAAGTTGTTATACATTGTTATTGTTGTCGATTCAAACTCGTGTTGGGCAGCTCGATGGAACAGCAACCCTAAGTGCGGTAGGTGCAAGAGCTATGTTTGCTTTTCTGGTTATCCCGACTTTTGCACAGTTTGTTCCTTCGTTCAAGATGAATGGTGCAGGTGATCGTGATAAGGATGTGGATTTGATTATTATAATCAAAACACATTTTGTGAGCCATTACCAGGGATTTAAATTGCTCACTTCACAATTTTCAGGAACACTGCTGAGCCTGGCTTGGAGTAAGCATTATCAGCTAACACACTACCATTAGAGAACAAAGCACGCCCGTCCATTTTTTTATTACTGTCCCTTACGTTCCTATAAGGAAAAAATAATAATAGATTAATGAAGTGTGACAAAATAATTACTGCAGCAGCGTTCCGGCTGAAATTAGGTACTATTGCTCATCAGAACGATCTATTCACCTCGCAGTCGGGTTTGTGCACGGCTCAAATCAGACAATTGACGAGGCAAGATGGGAGGGGAGGGGCGGTGTGTAATTTCTACACACTCATCTGCGTGTGGTAATTACGTGCAATCTACCAATGAACGTAGCTTCACCAGTTCCACTTGGCGCAGGAAGTTCCGGCGAATGAGCCTGTTGCACCCTCCTCAGCGGTGGCCCAGGAGCCTGCCCTCTGTTGTGAGGCCCCGGGGAGGGGGCTTGGGGGTAAATCGGCCTCGCACAAAGAGGGCAGTCAGCCCACACCAGGCCTGTGGGAGCTGCAATCCGTGGTATTTTGCCCCAGGCCTCCAGGAACCCCTGGCCTGCCACTGGTTGTGGCTGTGCAACCAGTGGCAAGACTGAGAGGTGGGTGGGTGGCAGCCTGGAGAGGCCTTCATCCAGCAGTGGCGTGACCGTGGTCTGATCACAACGAACTGGTGGCTGCACCGAGATAATGCATCTTCTGTATTTGATTCATGTAGAGTGCACGGAATTTTTTTTATGATGTCGAATATTTCCGTTTCTTTCCTTAAGGAAACTCGGCAAAGATTCAAGATCTTGCTAGGGATTTAAATAGAAGATTGTTTATGGTTTTAATATCCTTGAGGCAGCCTTGAAAAGGGGATCAGTCTAAGTTCATAATGCAGATTTATGCCTTTTCAAATACACTTCTAAATGTTACGGGGGAAAACCCAAGAGATTTTGGCAGACTTTGGAATTCCTCAAAAAATGTATAAATGTGAGTGTCATTTATGCAAACATTTGAACAAAATCCAATTAATGGTCACAAACAAACCTTGCAATTGTCACTTTACTGCTGTAGTTTAAACCCACAAACACAAAACAATTGATCCCCTGTGTAGCCTTACAGACTATTGGGGGGAATAACTGTTAGCAAGCGCCTCAAAGCCAGCACAGCACACGAGGAGGTGGTGTGGCCAACGTTGGACTCGATCATCTTTGTGTTCCCAGGACTGGTCTTCACACGCCTGGCACAGTATTCCTGGAAGCCCAAGGGCAGGCTGCCTTTTGTCTTTCCAGGGCCTGATGTTTACACACCGCACCAGGTATTCATTTAAGGCTGAGTCGACTTAGGCTAGGACCCAGGACCGATTCAGATAATGGTCACCGCTGTTGGACCGTGAGCGAGTATCAAAACACGGATCGCCGGGTTCGTAGCACATCGCACTAACCGCTTGCACGACTAAATTCCGCGCTAACCACACACACGCGGGCTTTTACCGACAGCGGTAACTATGCATCAGTGCCGTTTGTCGTTTGGGTGACATCTAAACACCAAAGGCACGGTGAGTCACACAGCTTCGGGTCACACTGGGTTCACACACACACACACACAGAGAGAGGGTCAGCGGAGACGGGCCAGCGTGGACCTCAAAACACTTGTTTACCGTTCCAATAAAAAAAATTGAGCCACATCAAAAGAAAAAAAAACGGGTGTAAAAATATAACTTCACCGAGGTGGCGGCGGCGGCACGACGGCACGACGGTGATGACGCGGGGCCGCACAGGTGGACGACGCGACGAGGGAATCAGCGGAGGGAGAAAAGACACGGCCCCACGAACGACGAACGGTTTCGTGGACACGACTTGCCGGACACTCGCACTCAGGCACAGTTAAATCAGTGCCGGGTGGCTCCGGCGGTAGAGCGAGCGGCTCTCAAATCGGAATGTTGCGAGGTTCAAATCCAGTTTTTTTATGGGTGGGGTTGACTCGGCCCATCATCCCCCCCCCCCCTCGGGGTCGAGAGAATAGGTACCACTTTGTGGGGAAGTCAACAGGAGTTGTCCTACGGTTAGACTCGTCCGTGCCACAGGAGAGGGGAGTTTGCACCGATGGCTCAGGGATGTAAATGGAAGATGCCCCCGACTCGATGATAATTTCAGCAAAAAACTCATAATGCAGTGTGGGAGCCTAAATAAAGAAATAAAGGCTGATGGCAGCATCTGGCAAAATACGACCACCATGGGTTTGAGACTCCGTGCAGACATCATTGTGGAATTGGACTTGTAATAAAGCCCGCAGAGAGGGTTTGATCTCAGTAACTAAAAAAAAACATGTAATCAGGCGAGACCCGATTGACACGACTCCCTGAACCTGGCAAAATGAAAAGATGAAAGAATAAGAAAAACCTCAAATAAGGAAGCAAGAGCCCCCAAAATATAGGGAATGCAAATGGAGCAAAAGTGCAGAAACACTACGCCGATAAAACATTTAAGACATGCTTATAGAGTTGTAACTTTAAAAGGTTAAAAAAATGTAAACTGCGAGTGATGGAATCATTCAAATGAATATATATGCTTGAAGTGACTGCTATAGCCGTCTGCAAGATCATCTTCATTCTTGCAGCAATGTATTCTCAGCATTGCGTTTGAAAGTATTTTGTAACGAGGAGTCTCAAAGCATGTCGCATATACAAATGAGCAGAAATGCACCACTGGCACTGCAATTAGCTCACTGGGAAACAAGTCAATCAAACACAGCAATAATACTCAAAATGTACACCAACTTCCAAGGAGTATGTTACGTCAAGCTTTTACAACAGTACCTCTTGAATAAGTATTGCTTAACTTTATGGTAACAACGACAAAACAAACTCTTGCACATTCCCTCGTCTATTTAATATCGCCTTAAAACTGTTAAGAAACATAAAAAATGCAAGCAGCAGCAGCATCATAACCCACCATCTCAGCCTACATCACTGGCGCGTCCAAACACGCGCAATCTGTGCAGGGCCTTACCGTGCTCTAACTGGCAAGGCGCCGATAAGGGATGCGTATACGTGGCCGATATGCAAACGATGAAATCCAAACGCTGCCCCAAGCCTCCTGCGCAGTATACGACTCGCGCAAAAAAACACATCTTCACGCATTCGTCAATAACACCGTGGCCTTAAAAGAATACACATACACAGCACATGATTTTAGATTTGTGTCTTTCCCCCGCACCTCCGATTAGCATGGTTGGCTACGTACGGTGCGAAAAAAGTTGAACATCTACACAAATACATGAAATGTCCCCTATTATATTTGTTTCTTTCACGGTCACAATGTTATTGATGAATGTATTGGGTTTGTTTTGCATTGTCAATTTGTGCTTGTGCACCGCTGCCAACGCAAGCGGCGGCGGCGGCATCACCAAATAATCAGTGTACAATACGTTACTCGGGATCATACCTGCTACGTTATAGCTGCAGCACACTTTGTGGCACCACACAGCAAACGCATACAACAACAACAAACACCAGCATGTGAATGTTAATTGAAAATTCACGCTGGCGTTAGAAACGACCGTAATAGTATCCTAAAATAAACAGCAATTGTAGACACGCAACAAATGTAGAAAAACAAATCTAAGTTAACCGTGTACAAAATTGATGAGAGTTAAATGAGCCACTTTAGAACGCATATCGGCAGCACGCCTCAACCCAATGCAATCTGCCTCTACAGGTACGCGTGGACACGGCTCGGATTGGGCAGATCCAACCCTCTGCTGGAGTTAAAATTCCACACAAGGGATGGATTTTTTTCAGATACTGATTATTATTTTTTTGTCTTATCCATTGCATTGGCAGGCACACGCAAACCGACGCACTTTTGTAATAATTGGCACGTGGACAGGCAGGATTGATGAACGTAGAATGGCGACAAAGAGGAAGCACGGAGGAGTTTGGGGGTCAGGTTGGGTGGAAACTGACTTCTCGAGTTCAGGGGGGCAGAATCACAAATGATCAACTCCGCAATAACTGGTGAAGCAAGTTGAAATATAATTTAAATATAAATATTATCCGGTCGGTGGAGGCTGTGCATGCTTGTGGAGGCGAGGGTTGGTGAATCGCGAAAATGTTGTGAAACTCCCTTCCCCTGGGCGTCGAGGAGGTGCCGTACCGTGGCTCGCAAGGAGAACGCGACACTGAAAAATTAACCAGTAAAAACTAAGTTTTTCACTAAATCCTTTATATGCGTGGCGGCTAGAGTCCTCTCGTCCTCTGGCTTGAGATGGCTGCCACCTATGGGTCAGATTGTCTGCCACCATTAAGCAATTGGTAATTAAATGTGTAATTTTTTTCCCCTAAACAGTGTAAAATTTTGGAAATTTTTTTAAGGAAAATTAATTGTCACGCACAACGAGTCTGTGTGCAAAATGTCAGCTCGATTGGATCATGGGAAGTGGGTTAAAAAACGACCGAAAGATTTGCACGGTCGTAAGCAAGCAAGTGAACTTAATATAAAGGATTTAAAAAAAAGGTGAAACTCCCTTTTTTCGTCTGTATGGGATAGAGCGTTTCCCCCTCGCACGCGTGGCTTTTCCCCAGGGACTCTCCGGCTTCCTCCATCATGTAAACGCTCATGAATTAGCTGTTAACGCCTTAAAATATCGAGGACCGCAGAGCTTTGGCAATCGTTTGTGCCAGCTCATCGCGTGGCCGCCTTCCCGCGTGTCTGTGGTTTCCCTGCGCCTCCAGAGTCGTCCTCTCATTCTATGAGACTTAGCGAACGTCGTGCGGCACATCACAGGTTGACATTATTATTACTGTATTATTATTATTATTTGATAACCCGTCAATAATGCCATCACTGCACCGTTGTGCACTGCCCAGTGCAGAGACTGGTGGGTAAATGCGTCCACCGCCGAAGTTGACAAATGGTTATCGTCGGTTATCCATTTAGAACGGGTTATCCATTTACACCCGCAAAACGTTAAGAATGAGTGGGCTTGGGGCAAGACATTTTGGCAGAAGGGATGACGGGCCAACACGGTCGAGAATCATGATGAGGGGGCAGCCAAGGAAATGGAACGCGTCCCAGGAGACGTCCACCGTGGAGACGAAATGACGAGATTAGCTCATGCGCAGGCGCTGGGTGGATTGTTAACACTGCACGATCGTGAGAGATGGCGGCGGGCTTGTGGGGTTGGCCTTCATCCAGCAGTGAATTGACCAGGGCTGGAAGAGCATAAACCATCACGGGAACTCCGGTCATCCTCGCAGCGGATTTTGGCAAGCCATCGAACAAAGACGGTTACTGCATCGTGCGCTTTCAGATATGCTTCTGCGGCCGTCTGGAACGCTCTTCCTTCCGACATTAAGAAACTACTGGAACTATACATTTTTAAATCTGGATTGAAAACCCATATCTTTAGAATTGCTTTTTGTGTTTAGTTTGTTGTCCTTCCCCCGCACCTCCAATTAGCACGGTTGGCGACGTACGGTGCGAAAGAAGTTCAACGTACATGCATGTGTAATAACAGCCATAGAGGGTTCACGTGGAGATTGGCTTGCCGGTCCTGCTTTGTAGCCAATAAGGGTTGAGACAGGGAACATGGCCTCTGCGTGATCGCGGCATGTTAGCAGGGGGGAATGGCCTGGCCATTCGGGGCCCCAGCTAATGGGGAGCCGGATCAGAGGCGTGGTCCCGGGATTGACAGGGAACCATCGAGAACGGTCAATGCTGTCTACGGAGGATTGGCTGGGGGGTACCACGTGACGAAGGGATTAAGAGAGAGAGAGAACGATCGAGAGCAGACTGGGGAACTACAAGAGCAAGAGCCACGCGCGTACGGGGGCTCTGGGTGCCACGTGCGCGGTGGGGACTTGGTGTGAAGTCTGCCCTCTCTCCGTTGTCTGCCAGCAACGGAGAGTGTGTGAGTAAAGTGTATTGTGGAAGTGGAAATAAAAAGGACCGATTCCGAAGCCGTCTCAGAAGGATTATTACACACGCATACATGACGACGAGGACGCGAAAGGGTAATAAATCACTGTAGGCGTTTAACGTCTGCAACCAGCCGGAGAAAAAAAAAAATCTGAACAGGGAGGGCCTAATACATCAACACGGACGAGACGGCTCAATTACGCTCAGCGCGAACTCGCACAACGCACGTCTCAGCGACGGGTAAAGCAACCTGCACGAAGCTCGATGCACGCACAGTGCTCACAGCAGCGGGGTAGGGATGTCTCTCCTGCCCTCCCATCTCAAAGACGAAGGGTGAGAGACAAAAGATTTTCTTCGTGGCCTCATTAAGCAATCTCCCCAAGATTTGAATCTGTCACACGCAGCTTTGACTCGACTATAAACTACGCAGTGAATTGGTACGCGAGTAAACAATGCCACCCACTGTTATCCCGCGGAAAAAGCCGCTGATGCTGAAAACAGTGCCAGCCTTGGCAACCAGCACCAGCACTCTGGAGCTCACGCCTGGTCTACAAGGTAAAGGTGTAGCCCTGCAATTGCTGGCTCACGTCACTGCTGGTGGATGGGCCTGTGCTAGAGAGGCCCTCCGTGTAGGATATTTTTGTCCACTCTTCCACCTTCACGGAGGTGGGAAAACCCCCACAATGTATACCCACCACTCGCAATCTGCCCATCGACCAACTGTGGTGCTACCATTTATAGTGTAAAAGGATGGATAGAGGTGGCGGTGGGGGGACGTTGGGACAGGAGGTAGAAATTGAGAAACCTGCCCCATTGTTTTGACTTTGCGTCGGGAGTTCAAAGTGAACCGGCGACCTCTGGAGTGCGAGTCAAGGGTGCGAATCGTGACACCACGAACTCATGAAGACAAGTGCTCTCCGGATGACTCTTCAGTGTGCTTTTATTTTTTTACGTGGGGGTTAATAAAAACCATTATTTTCTAAGCAAAGCCTCAACGAGTCTCAGGACTCTTTCGAGAGGGACCTGCTTTGATTGGCTAGTCAATTGTTTTGTGCGTCGGAAGAGAGTGAAGTACCCGGAAAAAATCCCAACACTCCAAAAATGCAGATGTCAACAACCTACTTACTAGGAATAGGTTTTTACCCTTTCAACTGGTACAAAAACTGACACCTTTATACAAGGCATCATGTTTGCAATAACCACAACACAAGCAGTCAAAATGCAAACAAAAAGAAACAACTCTAATGATGATAATGATATGCACTGTCCTTGAATTTTGACTGCTTGTGTTGTGGTTATTGCAAACATGATGCCTTGTATAAAGGTGTCAGTTTTTGTACCAGTTGAAAGGGTAAAACCTATTACTATATTTTGCCACTGGTAAAGGAGGTCTCATAGTGTAAACCTACTTACTCTATTGCTCTCTTAAAACTCACCTAATTTGGTCCTCCTCGAGTAATAAAAAAGACGTAGGGTTACAGTAGTTAAAACACAACTACAAACTGAGTAAATAAAGCAATGTTATGCAACTGCATTTGCTGTGACATTAATAACGGTGAAGCAATTCCACTAAATCCGAGCTCCGAGCTAAAATTACAACATCGGTTTCACTCTTATTCAACGATCCTCACTCTCGTATGCAGAGCGAGTGGGACAATGCTTCCCCCCCTCTATTTGTGCGTTCAGTAGTCACTGGATGGGAATCTCTGAGGTTGCACCGCAATGCCCTCTTTTGTGGGGCCATTCCACCCCACGAAGGGCTGAAATGCACTGCGAGAGATCCGAATGGATTTTTCGTCTCTCGTGATGCCAATAGCCCAGTCGGGATCAGATTGGAGGAAAATTACGGGAAAAAAAATATAATGGTGCAGCAATCGTATAATTGCCATCTTAAAATTAGCAACTGTTCATTAGCTAGCGTTTATCACACTCCATTCCGCTCTACTCCTAGCTTTCATTATTTTTTACCAGGTATCTGATATGTTTAAAGATGCAACTTGCATTTTAATTAATTATATTCTCGCGCCTGATGGCAATATGATTCGGGAGCTAAATACCAATGTTGAGGTCTGCTAACAGCAAAGAAAGGGCTTCAGGAGAGTGTGTAGTTTTAAAATTCCTCCTCTGTTGAACTAAAAATACAATTATTTTTTATTTTATCAGGTAAGGCCCACTGAGCTATACAGCTATTTTCCAGAAGCGACCTGACCACAAGTGATCGCTGAATGAAGTGGCTTATCATGTGGAATTTAGAGAAGCGCCTCTCTAAACGCATGTTGAGTCTAAATGTGGAGGGAAAAACCAGAGGACCCCGGATAAAAATCCACGCGACCACGGGGAGAACAAGCAAACTCCAAATATACAGGAGTCAGGGTCGGGATCGAACTCACAACCTCCTGCATACCAGGCGAGGTAGTTAACATCTCGCCACCATGGCGACATCGACGTCATTAATCTTAAGGAATGCTCTCGTTAAACGTGGGGCCCCGGACTCGGACACTTCAACACTGGCGGTGACCGCAGGTCTCATCTCTTCCCCGCAGCCGAAGCAACGGACCCGGCCAAGAATCCGACCTCTTTAACGACCACTGGCTCACACTTCCCATCTCCTCCTCCTCCTCCGTACTGCTTCCCAAGTACATTCCTTGTCGTTGAACATAAACACTGACGCAGACTGCAATGTTCACGACGTTATTCAGTCATTACTGATGTGTCTATAAATTCCGTGGTCTGTGCAAGACACACCTTTTAAGACTTGCCTTCCCACAAAATAAAATCGTTAAGTAAAAACAGTCTCGCTTTACTTTTAATTTACCATGCGATTCGTTACAATTTACTCTGCTCTCAGTCGATGTTCAACGCCGAGGTCGTGACGAGTTTATTTTCTCATCCCTGTTGCTCTGTGACCCCCCCCCCCCCACCAGCACCGCTAACGTGCACTGATGCCGACTTTATTGAGGGCGATATTGGCACATCAAAAAATACATATTTGGTTATTTATTTTATAAGTGTTACAACTATGTTACCAAATACCAATTAATTATTTTGTACTTGTTAGAATCATGAGATGCAAACGTTACATTACAAAAAAAAAACTCCAGAGTGGGTTATGAATCCAGGACACCAGTCTAAAACAATACCCATTGGGCTCTGGCCTCATCTCATGAGAAGAGAGGGGAAGAGGGGGTGGTATTTTACATGTTTTATCCCAGTGTAGCTTTTAACAGACTGTTGGGGCAAGTGCTGTTAGCGAGCACCTATGAAGGCCGGCCCCAGCACACGAGGGGGTGGGTGGCCAACACCACGCCCGGTCGCCTTTGTCTCCCCAGTGCTAATATTATACACACCACACCAGGTACTCTTTTCTTTTCGAAACTGCCTCTGGTGTTTAGCTTGTTGTAATTCCCCTGGCACTACCAATTCGCACGCTTGGCCACGTACGGTGTGAAAAAAGTTCAACATACAGAGAGTATACGAGGCCTGAATTGACCTCGGGGGGGGGGGGGGAGGGACACACCCAGGACTGGTGCAAACATTCGCCACTGCTACCGGTCGTGAGCGGGAATGGAAATCGGGTCACCGGGTTGGCAGCATGGTGCAGCGAGATAAGCGGGCGCACCGCCGCGTGCGTCAGGTTTCCGTCTTATTCCGTTATGGTCACCGACCGCCGTCCCGCTTTCGCCGGTACGGCTGCGGTTTCAGAAATTCCCGTCCACCATAATTTGCGAAGGGGGGTGGGGTTGGGGCGGGGGGGGCTTGTGATGAATCTCTCACCGTGAGAACATCGCCAAGAGCAGCAGCAGCAGCACGCATTCGACAATTACCCGTGCCGACTGTGCCGGGGGCGCGTAAAATGCAATCAAGAGGCGATATCTCTACGAGGCCAAGGGCAGATCGGTGCCGACAACTGGGAGAGGCATAGCCAATTCTGTGTCGCTGTACGGCTCTGCGATGCGTTTTCTAGGTTGTACCCACACGTTGCGTGGCCCGAAGTCTGGCGCCTTGTGTGTGCGTGCGCAATTTGTCACTTGTAATTTCTCTCGCGAGCCTCTCTCAGCGCCAGCTTGAGCCACTTCAATGGGTGGACCCCTGAGCGTGAACGATGGGAGTGGGGGGACGCCCGCCCGCCCGCCCGCCCGCCCGGGCCACACTCATGCGATTACAATTCCACGCCACACACACACACACCAGTTAGAAATAGCCTCACGGAAAGAACACGCCGCCCAAAGAAAGCCACCTCATCATGCTTTGCTATGGAAACATTACGGGCAGAAACAAATGTAAAGCAGAAATGCAATCGGTGCCTCTACCATCTTAGCAGTGCACGGCATTGCTTTTTGCATTGAAATATGTGGGGGGGGGGGTCCCATATTTTATATGGAATGCTCATTTTCCAATGGAAATCTGGTAATCCATCAGCATATGTTCAACAAGCCTGACTCTGCTGATGAGACCAAGAAGGTCGAGGCCGGTGCAGTTTGCCTGTTTAAGCGAAAAATGCTTGATGATGTTTGGTCGAGAGAGCCAATAGTCAGATGGGCCTGCTTATTATTTTGTTCATGTGTGGAGGCACAGAACAGAGGAGTTCTGCTCGTATTTGCTTTTGCCCAACGAACAAGCGGCTGTTGCAGCAGACGCTCGCGTGATTGCGTGTGCCCGAAGCTGCGTGACACAACTTCGAAGCTTCGTTAATGAGCAGGGAGGGAAACAAAGGATTCACGATCACGGTACAGGGCGGCGATGTGGCACTCCCGCGACGTCACCCTGACGCCACTCTTGGAACCCACAGCCTGGGTTGAGTATCCACAAGACGAGAGAGCAATATCTTATTTTGAGTTGCATCTTCAACTTCATTTCCATCGGGGGGGGGGTGAGGAACGGGAAGCCACGACTCCCTGGGAATCCAACCACAGCATGAGCGATGAGTCCAGCGGCAGAAGGCGACAGGAACGTTGGCGGGGCAACGATGTGACACGTGTGCGTTTGCGATCGGCGTCATCGTCTCCGTCGTGTGCGGTTGAGCGTCGGCACCCACGCTCCGCGCCCTGCCAAGAGACACGACGAGACACGACGAGACTCAACTCCCAGAAAGGGGGATGACGGCACGCAAATGCTCACCTGCGGACGGTGTGATCTACAACCCTTAGGGTGGAGCGGTACCATATGGCTGCTGTGCATACACGCCCTGAAGAAGGGAAGTCGAGTTTAAAGTCTTTCGAAAGCGATGACTGCCGTGTCGCGCCTACAGCCTGTTTAATCTCGTGCACACACTCATGTGTTTCTGTGCAGCATTATTTTGTTTTAACAGGTAAAGGCCATCGAGCTTAATAGCTTGTTTTCAGAAGCCAGCTGGCCACAGATGATAACTCAACGAAGTGGCTTAACACGTGGAATTGTATAGCAGCCAAATACTCTAAACGCATGTTTCTGAATGTGGAGGGAAAAACCGGAGGGACCCAGAGCAAAATCCACGTGATCACCACAGGGAGAGAGACATGCACACTGCAAATATACAGCAGAGCAAGGCCGTAATTGTAATATTTATTGGGGAGGGGACACATCCCCCAATATTCAAATATGCTCAAAATGTCCCCCCCAATATATTGCTATAATCAATATTTTAAAAAATGCTATGCTATGTAAATAAAAACAACAATTTGCTTAACCTTGGCCACAATATCTGGACTTGTCTTCATATAACAATGTATAGATTTCTGTTTATATAATTGTGGTTATGGTTGTACTTTATTAATCCCTAATCTCTGCCGTTACAGCCATTGAAAGAAGAAAAGGTAAAAAAGAAAAGGCAGAGAAATGTAATACAATACACTATTAGACATTATTGTAAAAAATAAATAAAAAGTCCATCCCATGTGTTAGTGATTTTTTTTTTTAGGCAGGAAATTAGTTTTCAAATTTAGATTTTTTTTCTTGGGGGGGGGGGGGGGGCCCTAGACGCCCTGGAAGATTTGGTCTCCTCCAATGTTGACTCCATGGCTATGGCCTTGCAGCAGACGTTTGAGTCGGGATCACACCCACGACCTCTTTCATACCAGGCGGGGGAGTTAACATCTCGCCACCGTGGCGCTGAGCTCCCTACGCCGTCATCTTTGTACTGAAGTCCTCTTCGAGACTCAACCTGCATGTGCGAGACTCCTTTTTGCGTGTAAGGCTACTGGAGTAAACACAACCGCACAAAATAGACGGAATTTTTTTTTTGTTTACAAAAAATAAACGTTGTCTCCACTCCTTTTTACAAAGCTGCCCACAGTCTGTATGCACGTACGTTAAACAAGCGTGGAAACGGGTAAAGACCGATTTATTAAATAAAGACTCCTCGCTCTGATCTCGAGAGTGGGCAAAAGAAGAGGGAGAGAGAGATAAGAAAGATAAGAGAGAGAGAGAGGAGAGAGAGACGGCAGGAGTGTATGCAACCGGTGGTAAGATGAACAAACCGTCGCTGTATCAACTGAAGGGGAGTGAACCTTCCTAAAGGGAGCCAGCAAGTCCTGCGAGAGGGCCCGAAATGATCAAGTCTGGGTATGTTTGTATATATGTTGAACTTCTTTCGCACCGCACGTAGCCAACCGTGCTAATCGTAGGTGCTGGGGGCCATTGCTTCTCTGGCTTCTGCTCCTGATGTCTGGGATTCTCGTCGACCTTCAACCTTGTCCGGTTGCCACCTCTGCTACTGCCCTTGGGTCAAGTCATGACTGAAGACCCCATTTCCTGTCACGTGCATTGAACTGCAAAAAACAATTCCCCTGTGAAGCGCCTGGAGATGCGGTGGCATTTAGATGCTACGACAAGAGGTTTTACCCTTTCTGGCAATAAAAACCAGGCGTTATGATGGTAAAACACCGAACAGAATCTCTTTGTCAAGGAATCCTGTCTGCATTAGCCACGCGTACTTGTGGTGAACGTGCAAATAAAAAAATGCCGCTGTATGAATGTGAATTGTATTGTATAGAATAGAATATCAACGTAGGTGTCTTATGCACTTGGCTACTGGCCTCTGCATTGGGGCGGTATGCACACCACGAGCTGGTAATTATATCGGCCGCTGTGGTAATTATATCGGCCGCTGTGGTTTGTGGTGCAGTGACTCCACATGACAGCCAAAGTTGCCGAGTCCATCACCGGAGGCATGTCTGCCGAATAACAAGAACACCGCTTTTAGTGGTTCCCACGACGTTTTTTTTGTCCCGTGGGGATGCTATCGGTGTCATGTCACCCGACACACGTTGGAGAACGGCCCACAGGGGTGCATGTCACACAGCTACCTCTGAAATCCCTTCAAGTGACCGCTGTCCCACACAGTAGAGGACAGCACTGATTGCGCGCTCTGCCACACAGGGTACCCGTTCATCACACGGCATTTTTCATACGGAGCACCGGAATTTCGCCAAATTAAGTGCAGAAACAAATGTATCGTGATGATTTCGTTTGTGCAGTCATTGGTAAACTGGCTGAGACCATAAACTCGCTACACTTGAGAACTACTGTTCGATCACAGGTGGCTGCCTGAATTTTAACCTATGACCTCAGTGGCTGCCAGCTCAGCGCTCTGCTCTCTGTGCCACCCAGCAACCTCCTCGTGCTCAATAGTTGTTGCCCCAAGGGAAAGGTTGGCCCTCTGCCATAGGAATGTTGAATTTCCACAACTGGCTTACGAACGCCTACTGGAGATGACTCAGCAATTGGGAGAAAACGTATGAATCATAGTCCCGCACTATGAAATCACCGCAGACTCTGTCCATGAAACACAGTACCATGTGCTAGCCTTGCACTATCTAAACCACTGGTACTTAACCTTTACTGCAGCCTCGCATCCCTTGGTTCTCAAAAGTAAAAAAATGTACAATGTTAATAAATACGTAGGTTTTGACGAAACAAAGTTGGTTGTACTTACGTGCCTGTGCTTAATTTGTGTTTTCGATTATTTACCTTCTAAAAAATAATCTGGCTATGTCTTGCACTTTCTAAAGCTCTTAAGACAGAAACAGGAGGATATCTCCACAATTCTGGCTGTCGCCTGATGGTGCTGGTTGTAATTACCGGCGAAATGTCGTACTCGAATTGTAAATGTTGTGGGTTTACTCTCCAACACACTGGTGTGCTTAACTCGTAACCAATTGGCTTGTTTTTGTTTACATGACAAACCTTACTAATTGGCTGTGTCGAGTTGTGGCGGGTTTAACGACAACGTTTATATTTACGCGATCTAACCCAAAAAAACCTCTATTATGGAGAACACTGGCCGTGAAAGCCTACTATGTGTTAAACCAAACTGTACCTGCTTTAACAATTCCCAAACACTTGACACCTGCGCTCGGCATTCACGTAGGCCTGGCCTCAGACCGCACCACCACATCCTGACGAGCCACAACTTGTTGCCGCCGCTGCTGCTGCTGAAACCGCCGGCCAAAATTGGACAAATCTCTCAACGCAAACACTTCCCCGCGGTGTTTCTTTCTGGCGGAATAATAATAATCGTGACTGGTTTTGTACCTCTCAAGAGACTTATGAAATCGGCTCTGCTTGGGATTCTGGACAGTGAGTCAACGATGTTCGTTGAGTACAGTGAACAGGCGTGTAGAGTTACACGGAGTAACCGATTCACATTAATTATGACCATGTGACCTATACGGTGATTAGTGTGTGCACGAGAGAAGAGATGATTATAATTTTTGGAAATGCCTTAAACATTTTATGTTGATGTTATATTTTGACGAAATGGGGCCAACAACATTTTACAAAGCAAATAGCAAAATAAAACCGAGAAATATCGCAAAATGAGATGGTAAAAATGAGAGGAATTGGACAATTTTTCTTGAATCCAGTTGGAAACCCAAATCTTGACAATCCATTTCAAAGGGTGATATTTGTATAATTTGTGACGTCGCATTGGCATAGCCTATCACAAACGTCTTGTTCTGTCTCCCATCGGCCAAAATAAAACATGCCCATATCAATTGCATAAATAACAAAGTAGCTAATCTAATTTACATTTATAAAGAAAGTGTCTTCACTCGAGGCACATGGAATGATTTAGTTGGCAGTGGCTGTGCTCAACGGATTGAGGAATGAGTGGCAGCAATAGAAGGGTGCTGAGGGATCACGAAAGGGCAGGGGAGGGATGGGAAGGAGTGGAGGGGCAAGGGCAACAAAGAGGAAAATAATGGGTTATGGAGGACAGATGAGGCTTTAAAAGAAGACTGGAAGGAGGTTAAGGAGGGGGACTGCCTTAATGTACAGGGGCAGTGTTGAGTCTATGCGAAGTGTTGAGTCTATGAGGAATGCTGAGTCTATGGGCAGTGTTGAGTCTATGGGCAGTGCTGAGTCTTTGGGCAGTGTTGAGTCTATGGACAGTGTTGAGTCTATAGACAGTGTTGAGTGTATGGGCAGTGTTGAGTCTATGGGCAGTGTTGAGTCTATGAGCAGTGCTGAGTCTATGGGCAGTGCTGAGTCTACGGTGCAGTGTTGAGTATATGGGCAATGTTGAGTCTACGGTGCAGTGTTGAGTCTATGGGCAGTGTTGAGTCTATGGGGCAGTGTTGAATCTATGGGCAGTGTTGAGTCTATGGGGCAGTGTTGAGTCTATGAGCAGTGTTGAGTCTATGAGCAGTGGTGAGCAGTGGTGAGTCTATGGGCAGTGCTGAGTCTATGGGCAGTGCTGAGTCTATGGGCAGTGCTGAGTCTATGGGCAGTGCTGCTTAATGCTCGGGGGAAGATTATTCCAGTGGAGGGGTTCAAGGAGGGAGAAGGACCGAAAGGGGGACTGGGCACAGGAAGAATGAGAGACAGAGAGAGGATTGGGAATGAAGACGACGAGAGGAGGGGACGTGGAATGAGATGAGAAAGGCGAGATGAGGTGGGTCAAAGCCATGGAGAGATTTAAAGACCAAGATCACCCATATGGCCTTAACAGACCGTTGGGACGCGGAAGGAGAGCGTGGCTGCGAGGGGGCATGGCTGGGAGGGGGCAGGGGGGGGGGTTGTGGGTGGAGGGGGGGCTATCATCAGCGTACCTGCCCCGGGGGGGGGGGGGGGGGTAGCCGTAGCACCATCACACGAGGCCACAGTCCTTGAGGTTGTTCTTGATGATGACGTCAGTGACGGCGTCGAACACGAACTGCACGTTCTGCGTGTCGGTAGCGCACGTCAGGTGCGTGTACACCTCCTTGCTGTCGCTCCGCCGGTTCAGGTTCTCAAACTGCGCCTGGATGTAGGAGGATGTCTCGTGGAACGAGTTCCCTCCTGCGCGGCAAAACGGTGGGCGCCGGGGGAAATAAATAAGTGATGCGCGCGCCGCAAACACGGCCACAGCGGACAGGGATATTGGTAACGGTGGCGAGGTGACAAAGCATCGGGGTTACCGGCAACAGAGGCACAACCACACACACAATCAACAGGGATATGGGCAACAGTTGTACAACAAGAACCACCAGGACGACGTCAACAAACAACCAATGGAGCTCTAAGTGACCGTGACGCAACCACAAATACAACCACCACCAGGACAATCGTCAACCAAAACACAACCACAGGTTTCATGGCCATTCGCAGCCAAAAAATAAATGCAACCACCAAGGAAGGACTTTCAACCACAGCGTAACCACAACTCTCTGGGCTGTTGGTTACCAGGCAATAGAAAGCAGCCACAACCACCAGGGCTCTTCATGTCGGTGATGATTATGTTGGCAATAATAGTGACGATGTAACTGAAATCGGTGTTGGTGGTGGTGTTGGTGGCGGTGTTGGTCATGCAGCATCAAGATTAGCCTCTGTGGAGGAGGCTCATGAAGGATGCTGTTGGGCAGTTGGAGGCAGTCGCCGTCCAACAACAACGGAGGGTGGAGGAGCGACGCTCACAACAACGAGCGGAGTGCCGTGCAGATAAAATGCAGCAAGTTGGCACAGTAGGGAGCACAGTTGGTGCATATGCAAGTCATCTCACTCAGTCAACCCATGGCACCTGGGTCTGTCCCGTGATCTGTCAGGCAAGCCTTCGACACTTCACGTGACTTTGCAGTGCACACCTGACCTGGCACAAGCGCCGTGGTGACATCACCGCCACTTAGTGGCCAATGGCGTCTGCTGTTATTGTTGGTGTGCATGATACTGACGTTGTGATATTGGCGGAGTCGATCATGTGTATGAAGTAATGTGGGTGACATTGATGTCGTAAGTGATGTTGATTGATATTAGCAATAGCAGGAACGTGTGCACAGTGGGCGTTGCACAGTGGGCGTTGCCTGCTTCAAATTCACTCTCACTCAAGAGGCAAAGAGCCTCCGGCACATATAGCAGCTGCAGCTGACAATGAGGGGTACACTGAACTGATGAAACCAGTATACAAATGCCCCGTCATCCTTCTGTTACCTAAATTGACTTAAATGCCATCAACATGTAAACACTCATTAATTGGTTGAAAACATCTTGGAATGTAGAGGATCGGAGAGCTTGGGCAACAGTTGGTAATGCCGGCTCACTGCCGGACTGCTGCCTTCCAGCTTTGCCCATGGTTTCTCACCGATTTTGAGATTAGCATGAACGACGACGATATATAAAACTAAACCATTTTTGTTATCAATATAAGCACAGCTCTATTTAACTGGTAGCTACCACAGGGCTATGTGCAGAGCGTGTAACAGTGGTAAAGTGATCTGGACACACAAAGCTTGCAAGAATGTTCATGTTTTGCTGTTGGCATCCTCTTTATGTATGCGTTTACACATATATATGTATGCTTCTCCCCTCCCACTGCTCACCTCTTTATTTTAATTTTCATACGTGTACGTCATAACAAAAACTGATGACGTATGCGTACGTCATCGGAATGGGTTAAATGAGCGCATCATCAACCCTTAAAACAATGACACCTTCACAACAGCGCTGTGCGGTGCCAGCCGCCCGGTTCTTTGGGGCCCTTGGGCACCGTGCGCTCGCTCGCTGTCACATGGTACAAATACATCCCGAGGGAAAATACAATAAGGTGCGTGGTCCGCCTGTACAGGGAAAGGGGGTTGGGGAAAAGAATGTTTCGTGAGGCAGGGAGGAGAGATAGAAGCATGCGCACGGAGTAATTGAAAATGATGAAGGTGCGCGGCAAGCTGGGCTATTGTGTTTGGAACAGGTGGAAGACCAAATTCCCTCAAGGTGTCAATCACAATTGAGCGAGCCCAACCCAGCCAGCTTCCTATAAATATGACCCCCCCCCACCACACAATAGAGGTGGAGGGTGAATATAGGAAGGCTCGACCCATAAGCATCGCTGCTCTGGAGCGTTATCCAGCAGTGGAGAAGAGCGGTCCAAGGGAACAGCCAAGTCTAGATTTTAAGCTTTCGTGACTGCAAGGATTCATATTCTTAGGTTGTTTCGGTAAAGTCACGTAGGTAAAATTTTTAATTTAAATTAATAAAAGTAAAATAAAATAAAAATAAAAATCACGACGTTTCGATTGCAACACAAGCAATCATCATCAGGTATAAATGCAATAGCAACAACAATTCTAACCAGAAAAACTATAGACAGACATATAAGCAGACAGATATCACCAAGATACATAGAGAGTAACACAGGTACAGAGAGGGAGATCGTCTCTGTTGAGTGGCCTTAAATAGGCAGAGGGGGCAGGGGCAGAGAGATGGAGGGGGTTAGATAAAAAATTGACTTTACCGAAACAACCTAAGAATAGGAACAGCCAAGCTTGAGTCTGTAAGTAGCAGCTCGGCAGGACTATGGGCTGTGCGGTTAGAGCGTTGATATTAAAATAAATACATTTTTCGTGGTGCGCCAGGATCTGCGTTGACAGTCCCTGTGTGCAATTTCAGTGGGGATGGAGAGCAGTGACGGGCAAGGACATTCGGCAGGGGGGGAGGGGAGAGGAGCCACTCAATGGTGGGAAGGAGCCAGCAGACGCCTGGCTCACTTCCTCTGCTCTGCTGACGGTGTCAGGCCGGTGGTGGCCCACGACGCGCGGGGAGTCGGGCTTCACCTGGAGTCGGGTTTCTTGTGAATGCAGCCCAAAGCGGGTGGTAAACGCCATCTCTAAGGCTAAAAGTGTTTTTATTTAAGGGCGTGTGAGTGTTCGGGAACGCGTTGGCTTAGGTGTGAGTGTCGGGATAAAGGGGTCATAATGTAACATATTGTGAGTGTTAACCTTGGTGTGCTAGAGATGCGCTACTGCGTGAGAAATTGGCAGGGTGGCTTGTCTAAAAATTAGACCGACCAACCTACCCTGTTGAATAGCCTCCGTGAATGGCCTCGATTGCTCTCGCTAGACTCGACCCACAATATACGCGCGAGTGACCTGGCTGACAAAAAAATATAATGGTGACGCCGATTAAAGGCGAGCCTGGCCAGAGACTAAGCGTCAGCACTCGCTCAGCGGCCGTGATCGACGGCGTGGGCGCTTGCGCAGTACCCGTGTACTCGGGGAAGCAAGTGGTGATGGGGTTGTTCTTGATCTTCTCCTTGAACAGGTCCTTCTTGTTGAGGAAGAGGATGATGGAGGTGTCCGTGAACCACTTGTTGTTGCAAATGCTGTCGAACAGCTTCATGCTCTCGTGCATGCGGTTCTACGAGGGAATCGTTCGCACAAGCGACACGCACACTGTTTAACACGCAGCATTTCACGACCAATATTATTCATAATAACGTTTTTTTTTGGATTAGATCGCGTAAATATAAAATGTGTCGTTAACACACCACCACCTGACCCACAGCCCATTCTAAAGGTTTGTAAAAAAACGTGCCAATTAGCGACTACTTCAGCACACCCGTGTGTTAACAATTTGAGTACGACGTTTTGCCGGTGACTGCTACTGGCTTCATCAGGCGATTTGCTTGAATTGTAAAGAAGCCTTCCTGTTATCTATCTTAGAGTAAAAGGTGATGCCATCACTGTGAGCTTATCAGGTGCAAAGACCAGAGGGGGGGGGGGGGGTTAATGTAATCATATCAATTACAATGGATTATGGTAATATGAGAATAAGCAGTACACACTATACTCTCTCACACGCCAATGTCTTTTATCTTTTTTACATTTTACCTTTTTTCACGGTTGTGATGAGTGACATACTCCCGACGGTAAACGCACCGCCCGGCGTTGCAGGTGGCGCATGTCCTTATTTGCGGGCCTCATTGTTGGTGCGGTTTTTAATTATTTCGCGACAGGGTTTTGGCCGTTTCCTTTTTTTTTTAATAAAACACGCGAGGGGCGTGGGGGAGATTTAAAAAATGTATGTTAGGCTTGCTTAGGTTTCCTGTAAAGAAGGTTTTTCTTTTTCTAAACTCCAGTGCTTGCGACCCACCACCACACTCCAATACAAAGCAACTCCTTCCACGCCGCACCCACCCGATGACTGTTATAAACACGTCCCGTGTGAACGCTGTTTGCCTTAATAGCGCCGATTCAAATTAAGACTGAGATATTAATTGCGCGTGCATGCACACGCTTTCCACGTGACACAGATAGAGTACTCCGTTTTCCTGCCAGACAAATACATACACTCACTAAGGGAGTTGGCCAAAACATCCCAATATAGGATCACAGAGCTTGGGCAATTGTTGACGCCTGTTCTGGCTGCCTTCCCCGCCCGTCTGTGGTTTCCCACGCCCGAACCGTTCCCTCCGAGGGCGAACGAAGAACGCATTACAAACTCTACAATTGCTCAATTATTACTCAGCTCCGCGGACACCTTTGTCATTTTGGCCTCAAGTGACACCCCATTCTGTGTGGTGCTGTCGGGGAGAGGGAGGGGGACCCACCATCTCTTCGTCCTCTGCCAGGACCAAGTCGTAGGCGCTGAGAGCCACGCAGAAGATGATGGCGGTGACGCCCTCGAAGCAGTGGATCCACTTCTTACGCTCGGACCGCTGGCCACCGACGTCAAACATCCTTCACGGCACAGCACAGTGACACACGGCTCAGTGACACGGCCCAGTAACACAAGGCTTGACACGGCACAATAACACACGGTTCAATAACAGAACAGTAACACACGGCTTGACACGGCACAATAACACACGGTTCAATAACAGAACAGTGACACACGGCTTGACACAGCACGGTAAAAGAGTACAGTAACATACGACTCAATAATACACGGCTTGACACAGCACAACAAGGCACGGAGAGTGAGCGCCTTGGCCGGCCTTTGTCTTTCTGTAAATCAAGGCCGTAGCCACGGAGTCAACATTGGGGGGACCAAATCTTCCAGTGGGTGTGGGGGTCCCTAGCAGAAAAAAAAATCTTAATTTGAAAACTCATTTCCTGCCATTTCCTGCCTAAAATATTAAAAAATTCACTAACACATAGGATGGACTTTGTATTTATTTTTTGCAATAATGTCTAATAGTGTATTGTATGACATTGCTCTGTTTTTTTGACCTTTTCTTGTTTCATTGTATGTAATGGCAGAGATTAAGTATTAATAAAGTACAACCATAACCACAATCCTATAAACAGAAATCTCTTCTATAGCAATATATTGGGGGGGACATTTTGAGTATATTTGAATATTGGGGAGGATGTGTCTCCCACAACATTTATTATAATTACGGCCTTGCCATATTTCCCATAAATATGCTAAATTCCTTTTGATATGCAAATTCCTTTGTCAATGCGCCCAGCTTATATATATGCTCCAAGCTCGTGTGCTGTTTCATTCAGACTCTGTCGCCTCGACGGACCTGGTTTTCACCTGAGGACGGCTGCTTGCGTTGTGGCCGAAACGTCGTGAGAATTGTTTTATTATGTTTTATTTTTATTATTTTATTACTTCCCTTCTACGTGACTTTACCGAAAGAACCAAGAAGATATGGCCTTGCTGTAAATCCATACTATTACCACTCCCCCCCACCGCCCCGACTCATAAATCAACAACACAAGCTCATTTACACCCACATTCACGAAAAAGCTTTGACAATTATCCTTTGTTTTTCAGGGTTGGAATATTTCTAAAGGTTCGCAGCGTAACGACATGGGGCTTGGGCTCAGTTCTCGTTTCGGACATTACTCTGCGAGTACGTTTAGGAAAGATCCTGTTTTTTTGGACGGCCAACGGTGGATTGGCATGCGTACACTGTTCAGCAAAAAAAAAAATCCTCTTCCAGATCCAAAGTGAATTTGCCCTCGGTTTTCAATGCATCCCCAAACATGGGCACACGGAGCCAAAACAAGTCACACGGTGCCAACGCTCTTGTGTTTTGGCGCACACAATTAAAACCACCTGTCCATATCGTCTCGAGAATATATCGTAAGGAAAGAAAAAAAAAGTGTCGAAGTTGTGAGGGGAAAAAATAAAAAGCGAGAACACATTTCGGCTAAAGGTTGTAGGCCGGAGTGCGTGGGCTGTGTGTATTTGTGTGTACACGTGGACAGGCATTATAGTGGTTAAACATTGCGCTATAAACCCAGAGACTTGAGTTGGATACCCTGCTCAAAACCAATAAGTGGCAATATCAGAACCGATCCTGGGCCTTCCCTGGGTCGGCTCAGCCTCAAACGAGTACCTGGTGTGGTGTGTGAACATTGCCACTTGGAAGACAAAGGGCAGCCTGGCGTCGTGCCGGCCTTCATAGGTGCTGGCTAACGGCACTCTGTCCCAACCGTCTGTTCAAGCTATATGGGAGATCTTTCTCTTTGTGTACGAATGTGCATGCACATGTGGTCACATATGTATGCTTTTGTGCACTTGCAACGTGCTTGTGCTGTGCACACGTGTGTGTTTGTGCGTGCATCCGTGTGCTTGTGTGCGCGCACATGCGTAGGGAGAAATGTTACATGAATCGTGGTGGTATTTTGCCCATACTGCACCACGCTGGCTTAGTGTGGTTTGGCTAAGGGGGAAAATGGCACCACCGGTTCTGATATAACCCACCACCGATGTCTGCCGTGGCCGGGAATCGAACTCGGGTCACCAGGATCAATCGCGCAGCGCGCTAAACCACTGCGCCACCGTTTCCACCATTAACCCCTAATCACCTAAATTAAATTTCCCAGTTATCTGACTCAGTTCATTCCTAGACCAAAACAAACCAAAGCGAGCACTTAAAATGCTGCATCGACGTTATCGCAGGCAGCACAAAGGAAGCAAATGAATGGTGCCAACGAAATAATCAGTTCAAGTGCTGATCCAATCTTAACAGCTGCCCGATGACAGTTATTGTCTCATCCGTCCCGAGAGATCAAATTACAACATCTCTCGTCGTATATCTGTGGGTTTATATGCCAATGGATATGTGTGGTAGCATGTGGCGCACATACATTCTCCAGGGTTACTGTGGGTGATGAGGTCAGGTGACCCAGAAGAATAATACAATTATTAGAGCACAGTGCCGGCACGGCTCATATGCTGGGATTTTCAACATATGTTTTAGCCACCTGTTATTATTATCATTGGCGAGATGTTAACTACCTCGCCTGGTATATAGGAGGTCGGAGGTTCTATTCCGACCCTGATACCTGTATATTTGGAGTTTGCATGTTTTCCCCGTGGTCACGTGGATTTTTCTACGGGTCCTCCGGTTTTTCACTCCACATTTAGAATCAACATCTAGAATCAACATCACACGTTTACAGTATTTGGCTGCAATACATTTCCACATAAGCCACTTGCTTGAGCTATCGTTTGTGGCCAGGTCAGTTCATTAAAAGAGCTATAGTGTCCAGTGGGCCTTACCTAATAAAATAAAAAAGTATATCGTTTTTATAGAGTCTCAAGACACATTTACAGGAGGGTCCTGCTAAGTTAAGGGAGGGGGGGGGGCGACGGTGCTATGTGCAATCCCAGTTTGAGTAATTTGCAGATGTTTTTGTTGAGCAATGGGGATTTTTTTGGCCAATACCAGATATGTTGTACTTTTTTTTTAGCTATGGGAGGAAACTCTAGAAATCAGGAGGGGGGTAACCGCATTCGGAACAGGACTAGGACATATGAACTCCATAGAGAAAGAGGCACCCAAGTAGGGAATTTAACTCGGGCCCTTTTTGCTGTGAGGCACAAGTGTTTCCACTGCACAACCCCTGCTGTCCAAAACCTGTCGATTATGGTGGTCTCAGCTCACCCTCCAACAATGCCTGCTCATAAAAAAACACATCGGATTGATTTGGCTTAATTTCTGTTATTCAGCACTGTTAATTAAACGTTTCCATCTGATATTCAACATTTTTGTTACGTGGCCTTCAGCAAGAATCCCTGCATAAGCTGTCCTTTACTCTATATGTGGCACTTAACCAGCAATGGTTCAAGCAAGCCTGACTCTTCTGGTGAGACACTGGCTGTCAAAACCGGTCAGGACTTTACTTCCATTGAACCAATGCTGCTGATAATGAGATGCACTTGCAGAGGGGCCGTGCGGTTCGATGGGCTGTGCAAACGATACATTCCGTTATTATACGGAGAGGAAAATATGAGAGGGGGGCTTATTTATTTTGGAAATGGCACATTAAAAAACCGAAACTGAAGTGACTCGAGAAGTAGTTCTGCGACGTCAACTTGCGCAGCCGTTCCCTGTAACGCGAGGTGGCGCGTCTCTAGCTGCTGAGTGTCCCAAATGGAAAATGGATGCATCTGATGGCATGATTGCAAGAGCACCATAATTGGAAAATTCCGTGTGTTTGTGTGAGGCCCCCAGGCACGGGCAGGAGTGGGGAGAGTGGTGGTTGGGGGGGGGCGAGGTTGGGTTGGCTGCTTGGGGCTGCTGGCACAAATCCGGCTGAAGTCAGTGTCAAGTTATGGCTCGCGTCTGTGCCCAGCGTTAATGAAAACCAAATATAAGATGTTTGTTCTCGTCCACGTTCTACCAGCCACACCTTCCAGAGCTAATAATTAAAACAAAAAAAAATAAAAAAAACAGATGCCACCGTCTGCAAGCGGGAGTTGTAACTCTACAAATATTGACGTAGCCAAGGGAACTCACACAACTGAAATATTCAGAGGTTAACTTGCTCGTTTTTACGCACTTGTGAATGAGCGTGTGTGTGTCCATTCACGTGCGTGTGTGGTAATGCGAGCAATAGCGTAGCGGTTAGCGTGGTGCGCTACGAACCCGACGACCCGAGTTCGATTCCCGCTGTGATGATTATGTGAACAGGTCCTGAGCCTTCCCCCTAGGACGACTCAGCCTCAAATAGGTACCTGGTGCGGTGTGTAAACATTGCCACTAGGGAGACAAAGGCGGCCAGATGTGGTGCTTGCCCCCCCCCCCCTACCGTGTGCTGTGCCGGCCTTCGTAGGTGTTCGCAAATAGCACTTGTCCCATCAGTCTGTTCAGGCTATGTCGGGGATATTTGTCTTTACCTTTGTATGCACTTGAGTAGTGGTCAGCAGACTGCCCCCCTATGAAAACCTGGCAGCCTGAATTCAATTCCCACTCACAGCCAACATCGGTGACGAATATCTGAACCAGTCCAGGGCCTCCCCTAGATCGACTCGCCCTTTTTAAATGAGTACCTGGGTGTGGCGTGTGCAAACATCACTACTCGGGGAGACAAACACGGCCGGGCATGGTCCTGGCCACATCACCCCACTTTGGAGGCCTGGTTGGCCTCCATAGATACTCACTAATAGCTCATCCCCGAACAGTCTGTTAAAGGCGCGAGGGGGGCGGGGAAGGACGGGTGATAGTGGGGTGAATGTTTATCTAATTTCTTTCACTATTTGAACTGTGCGCATACCACTCGCCTATGTTGTTTGCTGCTACCCACTTGAAGTGCAGGCTCTTGAAGATGAAGTGTGTCTCCACGATGCCCGTGGTCTTGACGCGCGTGCGCAGCACGTCCTGCTGAGTGGGCACGTAGTCGGCCCGCGAGATCCGAGCCACGTCGTTCAGGTAGCTGCACCGGTTAGCACAATACACAGCTTACTCACGCACACAAAGATCCCCCGTATAGCCTTAGCAGACTGTTGAGGGAAGGTGCTGTTAGCGAGCACCGATAAAGGCCGGCTCGGCACACGAGGTGGCGGGTGGCCAGCACCACGCCTGACCGCCTTTGTCTCACCAGTAGCGATGCTTACACACCGTACCAGGTACTCATTAGAGACTGAGTCGACCAAGGGAAGGCCTTGGAGCCCGTTTCAGATAAACGTCAGTGGTGTTGGCCATGAGCGGGAAACAAACTCGGGTCGTCGAGTTAATAGCGCATTGCGTTAACCAATGCACTACTGGCACAGATACAACCCTACCCATCGCTGTCATCCTGCCAAAAAATTCATATTTTGAATTGTACACCGTTTTGATAATTATTCGTCAACGGCTGTCGAAGGTCAGCGACTCAGTGCCCACGTGACTGTTAATTTGTCGGCAAATAATCCAGGTGTCTGTGGCCGCACCGGTGTGGCGAGCCACTGGTACAAAACTGGCTGAAATAAAACCATCCGCATCGTTGGTATCCACACCACGAACACGGCCATCACAAAGGCGCCTCTGTTTCACGGACGAGTAAAGGGGTACCAGGTCGTTTCAAAGTCAGGGGGTGCTGTTGCTTACGTGGCTTTATCCAATTAGCGAGCACTTTTCAAATTGTGGCACACAACGCTTATACTCTCTTCCGAACGGTCACTACCCCAAAATCCAGCTTCCTGAATTTAACAAGAGAACAGGGCAGGGGAGGCACGGGGAGGCACGGAGGGAATCCCTGTGCGAGTGGAGCGAGGTGGGGTGAGGTGGGGCGAGGTGGTGCAAGGTGGGGCGAGGTGGAGCGAGGTGGAGCGAGGTGGAGCAAGGTGGAGCAAGGTGGAGTGAGGTGAGGTGAGGTGGAGCAAGGTGGAGCGAGGTGGAGCGAGGTGGAGCGAGGTGGAGCGAGGTGGAGCAAGGTGGAGCAAGGTGGAGCGAGGTGGAGCAAGGTGGTGCGAGGTGGAGTGAGGTGGAGCGAGGTGGAGCAAGGTGGAGCGAGGTGGAGCAAGGTGGAGCAGGGTGGAGCGAGGTGGAGCGAGGTGGAGCGAGGTGGAGTGAGGTGGGACAAGGTGGAGCGGGACGGCGCTCACTAAGCGGCGGAGTCGTTGAGCTGGTACTCGCGAGAGCGGCCGAAGCATGCCTGCACGCCAGGGTCCGCCCACAGCCGCTGCACCACGGCCGCCAACTCCGGCGACAAGACGCCCTCCTCCTGCGCATCCACCAGCGCCAGCAGCCTCCTAGCGTCCTCCTGCAGGCCACAGAGTAGCAGCAGCATTAGCGGTAGCAGTAGCAGCAGTAGCAGCAACAGCACAGACAGCAACGTGGTCACATGTTGGGACAGCACGGGCTCTTTCAACGACTCGTTGATTTGTTGACCGATGTCAATATTAAAAAGATTCCCACAATTGTATTTCTATTGTGCTCTCAAGGGACGAAAAATCCATTCGGATCTCTCGCAGAGCTGTGCGAGAACGGTCCACGGAAGAAGATATAATTACTTTCGAAATGTATTTCTGGTCACCTCTTTATCCATACTAGATGGCTGCACTTTTCCACTCACCCTGGTCTGATGAGACTATTTTGGTGTGATTGGTAACAGATGATGATTAATAAGAGTCCCAATACTCTTTTCAGAAGGCTTTTCCCAAGTTTTCGCAGTATAGTAAGAGGAAAAGCTGCTATGCGTCATTCCAAATTGAGAAATTTGCACATTACTTGTTCGCATTTGGATGTTTGGCCAATAACAGTGACAATATATGGTTATTTTAACGATCAGCATCAGCGTCCGATGGCGAGACCGGGTGAACTCACCGCGCAGGCCGGGTCAGCGAACGACACCTTGAGGCTGGCCATAGCTCGCACGATGGCCACGATGGACTGGATGGTGTTGCTGAACACCACGGCGGCGTACTGGCGGCACTCCTCAGGCGAGTAGCCAGCCTCGTGGATGATCCTGTTCACAACAAGGGGTGCGCAAGCACAACGGGAACACAGTTTTTCTCACAGGTTGTTTGGGGGGATAGGGGGGGGCAAGTGCTGGGGCGCCATGGTGGCGAGATGTTAACTACCTCGCGTGGTATACAGGAGTCTTCTTGGTTCTTTCGGTAAAGTCACGTAGAAGGGAAATAATAAAAATAAAACATTATAAAATAAAATAATTCTCACGACGAGGACGGCTGCTTGCGTTGTGGCCGAAACGTCGTGAGAATTATTTTATTTTATTATGTTTTATTTTTATTATTTTATTATTTCCCTTCTACGTGACTTTACCGAAATAACCAAGAAGATGAATCCCTGCAGTCACGAAAGCTTTAAATCGAAATTTGGTATACAGGAGGTCGTGGGATCTATCCCAACCCTGACGCCTGGTGTATATTCGGAGTTTGCGTGTCTCCCTCCCCGTGGCCGCGTGGATTTTTCTACGGGTCCTCCGGTTGTTCCCTCCACATTTAGAATCGTGTTTGGCTGCTAGAAATGTCCACGTGACTTGTGGCCAGGTCACTCCTGAAAAGGAGCTATATAGCTCCGTGGGGCTTTATCCGGTAAAATAAAATAAATAGTTCAGTGTAGTTGTTAGCGAGCACCTATGAAGGCAGGCATGCCATGCAAGGGCGGTGGTGTAATCAGAACCACGCCCGGCCACCTTGTCTCCCCCTCCTGCGATGTTTTTAAACACACTGCACCAGATGCTCATTTGGGACTGTGTCGGCCTAGGTGAGGCCTCAACCGGATTAGATATTCGCCACTGAAGGTTGGCCGTGAGTGGGAATCAAACTCAGGTTCGCGGGTTCTGAGTGTAGTGTGCTAACCGCTGCGCCATCGCTCGCCACATGTGCATGTATGCAAAAAAAAATACAAATATCCCCTGTATAGTTTAACAGACTGTTGGGACAAGTGCTGTTAGTGAGTACCATTTGAAAGTCAGCACGGTACACGCGGGGGTGCGTGGCTAGCACCACGCCTGACCGCCTTTGTCTCCACAGTGGAGATGTTTTACACACCGCACCAGGTACTCATTTGAGGCTGAGTAGACCTAGGGGAGGCCCAGGACCGGTTCAGATAATCGTCACTGGGTGTTGGTCGTGAGCGGGAATCGAACTCGGGTCGCCGGCTTCGTAGCGTAGTGCGCTAACCGCCGCTACACCACTCCCTGTAAACATGATCCCACCCAAAACACAAGTTACGTTCTCAGCAGTGTGACTCACACACAACTTTGTTCACCACCCCGCCCCATCCATACCAAAACGGTCTCGACAGAATGCTATTTTTTGTGTACGGCTATTGCCTGGGAAATATTACGACTATTTATATGTCCGTCTGAGGAGGCATCCCGTATTCTCAGAAGAGAAAAAAAGGAAAAAACCCCAAAACCAATCACCGTGGAGTGAAACTTTCCACACACCCTGCCAATGCTCACTCTCTGAACTGCGAGTCGGAAAAAAAACCCACCCTTTTTTTTTAATACTTCGTAAAAAAAAATTCAACATTGAACCTGCGCAGCCGGGATTCGAACGCTGTTCGAATTAAGCGATTCTCGAAAGAAAAAAATGTGCAGCCCTGAAATTCCCTGTTAACACCTCTGCTGGCCCCACGTGAGACGAAACACGATGGAGCCGGGAGATATATTCCTGCGGCCGGTTCACGTGGTTTTTATTTCATTGACCCGTTTCAACACAAAACGAGCGCGGAAACGGGTAAAGACCAATTGATCAAATAAAGACCCCTCGCTCTGATCTAGAGAGTGGGGGAAAGAAGAGGGAGGGAGAGAGAGAGTAGAGAGAAGAGAGAGGGGAGAGAGAGAGAGTGATGGCAGGAGTGTATGCAACTGGGGTAAGATGACCAAACCGTCGCTGGATCAACTGAAGGGGAGTGAACCTTCCTAAAGACAGCCAGCAAGCCCTGCGAGAGGGCCCGAAATGTTCAAGTCCGGGTGTGTGTGTGTATATACGTTGAACTTCTTCCGCACCGTACGTAGCTAACCGTGCTAATCGTAGGTGCAGGGAAAGGACAATAAACTAAACACACAAAGCAGTTCTCAAGAAATTAGTTTTCAATTTGGATGATTTAAAAGTGCACAGCTCCAGTGGCTTCCGAATATCGGAAGGAAGAGCATTCCAGACGGCCACAGTGGCGCATCTGAAAGCGCGTGACCACCGTTTTCGTTCAATGGCCAGCCAAAAGCTGCCGCAGCGAGGATGACCGGAGTCCGCTTGATGGTTTATGCTCCTTGATGAGATCAGCAAGGTACCGTGGTTCGTTTTAGCGTCGTCAAATGCTCAGGGCTTCGTGCGGTGCTCCAGTCTGGTGATATTGCGCTACTGTTATTTGGGGAGCGCAAGCATTTCATGGGAAAGCAGCCTTTTGAAGTCTAACTTGGGGGGCTCGCTTTTTCAGATCCTCACACGCCGCAGGGTGCTGCTGCCTGCAGGGCAATGGTAGGATGGCCAATGGAGCGTGCAAACCAATATGACAATAATTTACACCTATAAACCACGTTTCACCCAGAGGTCCCAAAGCACTGCACATAGCTAAAGGCAAGTAAGTCAATAACTAAACGAAATTCTAAAACCTAATATAAGCACGCAGGTTCATAATTTAACCAAAGATACAAATACCTCCCCCCCCCACACACACACTTCCAAACACATAACCATATTATCAGGAGAAAAGGCCTTAAGAAAATAAATCTTAATTGCGGGATTTAAATAAACCGAGGGACACATTGAAGGGAGCTGCGACCTTGGCACACACAATAGCTCACACTCAGACGACAAAGCTTCTGCGGAACATAGTTGATTTTGCGGTAAAATGTTTAATTAATAAGCTCATAATCATGATCATCACCAGCCATGGTCAATGCACGGCTGCATGAAGGTCTCCCCATGCAAGTGTCTGTCGTGGAAGGTTCTCTAACCATACTTCACCACGCTGCTTAGTGTCGGTTGGTGAAGGATTTTTGTCCTGGGAGCGGATTATTTAATCGCTCACCCCTGATTTAAGCCATGGCTGGGAATTAAACTCAGCCAGCTAGATTTTGAATCAGGCCCACTAACCTTTACGCCACCGCAGCCTCATTGTATGTGTAACCAGATGTAAATTCCGTGGAAACAAAACACGGCCTTCACACCCAAATGCACACACAAGACAAAGATCTCCCATATAGCCTTAACAGACTGTTGGGACAAGTGCTGTTAGCGAGTAGCACCTATGAAGCCCAGCACACACACGAGAGGATGGGTGGCCAGCACCACGCCTGGCGGCCTTTGTTTAACTAGTAGCGTTTACACACCGCACCAGGTATTCATTTGTAGTTGAGTCGACCTAGGGGAGTCCCACGACCAGTTTAGATAATTGTCACTAGTGGTGGCGGGAATCGAACTCGGGTCGCTGGGTTCGTAGCGCAGCACGCTAACTGCTACACTACCGCTCTCCATAAAACACACGCACACACAAGCACATACATGCCACTCATGCACGAAGAGGCCATCGTTGGCTACGATGGTAGTGGTGACGATATGTGTGATGGTGTTAATGATGGTGCGGGTAGCACTCACTTCATCTGCTTGACGATGGTGCTCTTCCCAGACTCACCAGCACCTGTGGGCACAGCACACATGCACGCACACAGAGTTAGTCACTGGTGATGGTAGTGGTCACGACCCGGACACCACCACCTCGCCTGGGAATACTGTCTGAATAAGATCTTTCAACTATCTCTCAGCCGCTCACACAATTCAGCCTGGTTAAACCCAGGATGGATTGTAGGCAGGCCCACCAGACTGTTTCAAGCCAGCACAGGTGAAAGACCCAACGCAGAAGATCCTCTGGGTTTGATCTTCCACGAAGCTCATGGTCCACCCTAAACCGCATCCGTACAAACCATGGCAGATGGTGATACCTGATGCACAAATGTGAAATTAAAAACTCCAGTAGTGTGAGATTTGTGACCATCCACAACAGAACCATACAACATATAATGAATGACGCAATGCCCCCATCCACAAATATAAAAGAGATATCGCAGCGATAAACTACTCCTCTGCTCTTGGCGCGGTTATCAGGGCTTGCCAAGAGGTCTGGTATGTGTGGTGGAAGAGTAGGCCATGTGGAGTGACGTCAGCCGCTAATAATTATGAATGGTGGGGGGGGGGGGTGTCCATTTGGAGGACGTCACCTTATAATGATTATTAATGAGGGGGGCTGGTCGATGTGGAGTGACGTCACCTGCTCATGATTATTAATGAGGGGGGAGGATGCTCCATGTGGAGGATGTAACCTGTTCATGATTATGAATGAGGGGGGCTGGTCAACGTGGAGTAACGTCACGAGCGTTGCACACAGACATTCTTGGCTCATAGTAGGTAATAATGGGGGGGGGGGGTCCATTTGGAGGACGTCACCTGCTTATGATTATTAATGAGGGGGGCTGTTCGATGTGGAGTGACGTCACCTGCTCATGATTATTAGTGAGGGGGGGAGCACTCCATATTGAGTGACGTCACCCGCTCATGATTATTAATGAGGGGTGGGGTGTCCATTTCGAGAACGTCATCTGCTCATGAATATTAATGAAGGGGACTGGTCGATGTGGAGTGACGTCACAAGCGTTAAGGACAGACAGTCCTGGGTGATTATAGTAGGTATTTAAAATTGATAAACTACTCCCCTATGGTCTACACTTGATAAAAAAATTATTATAACATAAAATCCTCAGCCCTTATGTCTACTTTGGCTTTTTAAAGAACATGTAGCATGTTGTTATTTTGGACGCTTTTGCGGTGAAAACAAATGGTTTCACAAATGAATTTTTTTACCGTGTCCTCATTCTCCATTTCATCTTCATGCTGTGCGCTCAACAATAAAAGTCCCAGCGATTTCCCCTGCTCCTAAAACGAGCATCGAGGCATTGCTCATCCCCTGTTTAGAGCCCTGCAAGAGCCAGTGGTGGAAATTCCACATTCCTATGACAGGGGCGAATCTCTTCCATAAGACAACCACTGTAGACTTCCCCACGAAGCGGTACTTATTTTATTGACCCCAGAGGAAGGGATGATGAGGTGGATGATTATGTCACCCCCCCTACCCCGGCTAACCGCACCACAACCAGGAGTCAAACTTGCAACACTTCTGATTGCGAGCCGCTCGCTCAACCGCCGAGAAACCTGCCCGTGCCGGCAGCCTGCCCGCCCCATTCTGCTCAGAATCACATTTTTGCAAAACGCTGCACAGCCAACTCTCTCCTGGGGTCTTGCCGCAGGTGGCTTTCTCTACTCACCCACGTCTGAGAATCTGTATTCAGTGCTCATTTCAGCCTTAAAGAGTGTGGAACACTGTACTGGGTACTATTCCAGGACACCACATCCACCTCGCCTTGCCCTAAACCTGCTCATTTGACGATTTTGTCCTAAACCTGTTCATATGACGACAGAATTACTATTTAGGATACAATAATCACATTTTATTATAAGTAGGCGTAGCTTGCACTTGAGTGGTAGCGCCTTATGCCAATCTTCTAATTTTCCTTCTTTCATACGGCTGATCTAGATACAGAGCAACAACTACAATTTCACATTCAGGTGGTCAAGCCAGATAACTGCGTCAGGAGCAGGGAAGCGTATCGCTGTAATGTCTCCTTCGTATTCATGGATCGGGCATTGCGTCGTTATACGTTGCACGGCGGTCTGTCCTCATGCCGATAATCCCTACTTGAAGCCAGTTCAGAGGCATTCCGGAACATATCGACTGAGAATTTCTGCCTTGTCTGTATTCATATATTCACAGTGCAATCCCAGGAAGGGGTTTTAACTGACAGACTTACATAGATGGGTAGAGCCGATGTCTGCCAATCAACTGCTGAAAGTGTTCATCCGTTCACACATACAGCACTTGTGTCAATCCACTGCTGGATGAGGGCTTCCCCACGCCTTGAGGTGGCCATGCTTCTGCATGCTGGTCGGTGTGGGTGGCGAAGGTGGGATGCATAGACACTGGAGTGTCGGAGTAGGTTACAACAAATTATTATTCTGCACTGTCCTCTGCCGTCGATGGCGAAGCCTCGCAACATGATGACAACCCGGTTGTCCACTGTGGCTACCCATTCAAGCACTATCCAGGATAAGCCCCTGCTTAGCTTCTGAGATCTGATGAGATCGGGAGCATTCCCGGGTGATTTGGTCACAGGCACAAATCAGAACTGCTTTTTGTGTTTGGTTTTGTTGTCCTTCCCCCACATCCTCCGATGAGCACGGTTGGCTACGTACGGTGCGAAAGAAGTTCAACATACGTACACAGGTACAGAACAGTACAGGGGCATGAGAGCAAACAGGAATGAAACAATTAAACCCGTCATGATCTCAGTGGCGAACACAACAGGAGTGGTGCTGGCCAGCCAAACCCACCCACCCAACTCATTTCTTGATCACTTATTTTTGTGTTTAGCTTGTTGTCTTTCCCCCACCTCCTCCGTTTAGCACGGTTGGCTACGTACGGTGTGAAAGAAGTCCAACATACGTACAGATCAGTAATCTAAACATTAAAGCAAGGCCTCAAAGTTTAGCACACTTACGTACATTCCCGTGAATAAATCTCGCTGCTCGTTTCGTCGGAGTCTAGAAAAGCTCGGGGGAGGGGCCTCACGTTCGCACATATCCCACGCAACTAAACGTGCAGAAGGATTTATAATAACGTTTTTAAACAACAGTAAAACTAAACATCTAAAATAGCGCAACGAGAGTGCACCGAATAAAAAAAGATGAGGCTCAGCCTGCGAGCACGAGCCCACCAATTTTGGAAAAGGACAACGGCAGAGTTTGGTTATGCCGACTTAGACACAGAATATGCAACGTTATTGTGAGCAACGCAACTTCGTGGCTCACGCACGAGTGCTCATGATTGTGCGGACAGATTAAAGAATTGGGACACGTAGGCTTTCGCGAACAATATTATGCCGCAAAATCTCCCGATGACGCCGGATGTAATGACCGGCGAGAAGATGTACAAATCGCTTTAAACTATTGTCATTTTTCGATTTAAAGCTTTCGTGACTGCAGGGATTCATCTTCTTGGTTCTTTCGGTAAAGTCACGTAGAAGGGAAGTAATAAAATAATAAAAATAAAACATAATAAAATAAAATAATTCTCACGACGTTTCGGCCACAACGCAAGCAGCCGTCTTCAGGTGAAGAATGAGACACTGCCAAGCTAGGAGCTTATATATAAGCTGAGTTGGAGGTGGAAGAGCGCCTTAACAAAAAGAATGTGCATATCAAGAGGAATTTAGCATATTCATGTCATTGTAGTGCGTATTTAATGTGGCGCTGCACTCTGATGTTGTAGGAGAAAACATGTATTAAAAAGTCTATTTAATTAAGTAGAACGTGTTGTATATATTTATTTAAAGTTGCGCATTTTGATGTGACGTCACATTTCTTAAACACCCCCCCCCCCCCTTGTCACACATGTCTGACCCCCCTCCCCCCAGGTGCGTGACGTAATTTATGGACGGCCCCTTTGCAGCTGTATCTATCATCGAAAACAGGCAGATGGCTCAGGCGATTAACAAAAACACCAGTGTTAGAGCATTCGGCTGGTACAGCCAGCTCACATCCCAGGTAGAAATGCATATACATACGCATGCAGCCACGCATTATTAATCTGAGATTATCATTTGCAGTGAGTACACAGTCTCAGCCCGGTCCCCAGCTTCGGAATAACAATAATATATATTTGTCGTGCCGTAATCCACATCCCAGGTAGAAATACATATACATACGCATGCAGCCACGCATTATTAATCTGAGATTATCATTTGCAGTGAGTACACAGTCTCAGCCCGGTCCCCAGCTTCTGAATAAAAATAATATATATTTGTCGTGCCGTAATCCAGAAACGATAATAAGAAGAATAACAAAAATTGCGGAAATGTTGACCGCGTGGAAGATGTGGCTCTTTTTAAAGTACTCGGGAAGTAGTTCTGTGAAGTTATCTTTCTCCAAAATGTGGTGGTACACCCCCCTTAATGTCCCTCTCTCCCCCATAGAATCTGCATCGTTCCTCTTCCCGTATGAATTCACACACACATACAGTCCCAAGGCTAACCGTATCTTGATAAGTGGTCACGCTTTATACGCCGTATAACATTAGCATCTTATAAATATGAATTTGAATTTATAAGACAACTGATACATTTGTGTGATGATGCAACTGCAAATTGACCCAGTGAGGAATTCATTGACTGTTCAATGCACATTTCAGCCAGCTAGCCAGGCTCCCTGGATAAGCACGTGCAGCTTACCACGCACGCACGCCCCAGGACATGCATCCGTGCGTGTGTCTAAGAGTTGATTACTTGAAATTCAAGTAACTTAATGCAAACGTTTCCTTTCAGGTTGCCAGTCTGAAATTAAATTACACCGAATTAGACACCGTACAAGACAGATGAGGGGGAAGAAATTAGAAAAATAATTGTGTTATTTATAAAGGACAAAATTGTTAGCCAAATTACAGTGCATACAAAATACAGTCCCGTATTCTTCACATTATTAAGTTGCTCTGGAGAGTAAAAATTCCCACCAAACTTTTGATGTCATTTTAAAAAA